TTAAACAGAGTTTGAAGTCCAAGGCATTTTTGAGAAAAATAATCATAATGAATATTTTTTTCATTCAACATAGATGTCTTTACTTGTTAGGTCAGTTTTGAGACGCTGAATAAACATGAATCAATGTGTTGCATAATTCTGTTTCGGGAGCATTTAATTTATGGAAATAATAGAAATAACACCTAATTTTTCATCATTACTTGCCCGAAATTCTTGATTTACCTGTTATTTGTTGGAATTCTTAGAATCCATAATAGGATTTATTATCCAAATTCAAAAATAGCAAGGGTTATTTGCAGAAAACATTTTCTACGAATTAAGTATATTAAAGGTCCAAATATTTAAAATATTTTTTAAATTAATTAGCAGGAAAACATAATAGGAGTCTTTATTCGCTGAATTTAATACTTTTAAATTAATGAAGCTTTTGAAATTGAATTTACCGATGTTTGTATTTAACCAAATGTCCTTGTTCGTTTAACAAGAGGCCACTTGCAGTTAAGGTCTGCTCCTTTCACAGTGTCTAGATATGTGCGGGTGGTAAGTGTGCACGCATCCCGACTAATATAGGCGGGAAAACGGCTTTTCAAATCCTCCTACCCATTCAAAACAATTAGGAACCTGCTCCGATTATCTTTTCTTTAGAGGGCGCCACAGGCAAACACGGTCCTGTATCGGAACACCCTCGCGCCTTATCAGTAGTTACCGATCGAAGAAAAACGTAAACAATCTGCTGTCAAACACATGCTCGTAAAACATGCCTGAAACTTGTTGTTGTGTGCCGAATTGTAGTAATCGGGGTGGCCATATATTTCCAACAGATCCGTTAAGAAGAAAAGCATGGATACACGCAATAAAACGTGGTGAAACTCGTTTTCAAAGCTGGACTCCGTCAACTCATGCTGTTGTTTGCAGAGCACATTTTAAATCAGACGACTATTTGACTGAAACCCAGCATGGTAACAATATTTATTTATTTATTTTGAAATCTTTGATAAGCATGTGCAAAGTAATGTTAATAGATTTTATTCTGAGCAATATTTATGCCTTATTTGCTTAGATGAAATGCACTAAAATATCGAATCCCTTGTTTACCTCTCATACGAAGTAATCTGATAACGTTACAGACACTGCCACATGCAGACTCCCCACTGACAACTTCAATTACTGGTCATTTATTACAAACGCATTATCTTTTAACAATATAAACACAAGGCATGTCTAAAAGAACACATGCTGTTGCCTGATAATTTATGCATATCTACCAGTACAAGATACTGTGTTTTGACATTGATGTCTAATTAGCACCCTGCTTAAAAACAAATTTGACCTGTTTAGTTGAATTAATAAACACATGGGCATGTTTTGTAACATCAATTTTATAACAATAATACTTGTAATAATAAAAATATTTTAGTAAATTTATATTTGTTTTATTTGCTTTAAAAAGTTAGTTCAAATTATAAATTAATTATTTAATAAATAATCTAGTACTATGAACAAGTATTGATATATTAAATAATTTAATTCTTAGGAACTACTCCTTTAAGTAAAAGATTGAAGAAAACTGCAGTGCCAAGCATTTTTCCCTGGGTAGAGCCAAGTCCACATTCACATGAACGAGCCGACAGAGCCAAGTCCAGAGGCATCAAACGAAAACTAGCAGAAGAATTTTCTGCTTCGTCTTCCATAGTTGAATTCATCTATACATCAGCTGATGATCTGCAAGTATCCGAGGAAATTGTATCTAACTCTACCCAAATTTTGGCTGAAGAAATTCAAGTCACTGTTCAGAAATCTGACGTTAAATTTTTTGATGTACAGACACAAACTCCTCGGTATCCCCCAATGAGTATTGAAAACTTTACAAATGATGATGCCGGAGTAAATTTCTATACTGGATTGGAAACTCTAACTAAATTTTATTTTGTTTTAAGAACCTTAGGACCCGCAGCTCACTGTTTGAATTATATTTATCATAAGGTTTCAAACATAAGTGTTCCTGACCAATTTTTCTTAGTCCTCTGCAAGTTACGGCGCCATACGACCAATTTTGAACTTTCAAGATTATTTGGAGTTTCCGAAAAGACTGTATCAAATATATTTTTTACATGGATTTTATTCATGAGTAAGCAATGGCAGGAAATCGACATTTGGCCTACAAAGTATCTTGTAAAATATTACTGTCCATCAGATTTTAAAACAAAATTTCCAAATACTAGAGTGATAATAGATGGCACAGAGTGTCCAATTAAAAGACCAAAGTTACCAAAGCCACAGCAAGCAACGTATTCTACCTATAAAAACCGTAACACGGTAAAAGTTCTTGTAGGAGCGACACCAGGTGGATTAACATCTTATATTTCTACAGCTTATGGGGGATCCACAAGTGACCGTCAAATAGTTGAAAGAAGTAGGCTGTTAGAAATGTGCAATTCTGGAGATTCAATAATGGCGGACAAAGGTTTCAATGTGCAGGATATGTTTGTACACAGGAACATTCAAATAAATACACCAACATTTTTCAAAAAGAAAAACAGAATGTCATGTGCTACTGTGATTGAGGACCGAAAAATATCCAGCAAACGTGTGCACATTGAGAGGATCATTGGACTTGCAAAAACATTCAAAATTCTGACTGAGCCCATGAATAGTTCTGAAACAAAACTTTCTTCAGAAATAATCTATGTTTGTTTCATGTTGTGTAATTTTAAGAATTGCATAGTGCCATCTTATGCATAACTTGGTATTAAAAATGACATAATAAGAGAAAAAAGTCTTTATTTCATTTTTCTTTATTGCAACTACATTTTCCATCATATGTCTTGAAAAAAGTTTTTTCCAATAGAGCAGACTTAAAAAAATCTTCATAGAATTCATTCAATTTTTTCTTCATCTCATCAATAAATTTATCATCCCTTTCTATTGCAAAGAACAAAAAGTCATTGAAAGTATACACAACAAATATACACTCATTTTTCTCTGCACAGTAAAGTTGTCCTTGGACCTGATAGTAATAGTCATGGGTTTTATTCAAATAAAATTTACTTCCAGACTGCTTGATATAAGGAACTGTTTTTGAGGAAATAAAACTGTTTCTTGCCACATATGGACACTTAACTTCAATCAAGGTGTCATCGTCAATAATACCATCTGGGGTTGCTGCTAAATGAGGGGAGTCCAGACTGACACAAATTCCACTATTGTAAACTGTGCGTCCCGAAATTTCCTGGTACTTCTTCACAGCTTCTTTTTCGTATTTTCTTCCATGAAGAATAGGTTTAGCATTAATTTTTTGTGCCTTTGTTGTTAAAAAGTCAGCAAGTTTCACCTTATCAGTTCGATCAGTTGCTTTACATATTCTCCCGAATACCGAAGAATGAAGACGTTTGCAACGTTCCTCAAACCAAAGGTCGTTGGCCGCTTGTGTAGCTGTTTTTATCATAACTTGACGTGCATTCTCCTCTGAAATTTCTGATACATTTAAAAGTTTCAAATGATTTTCACTAAACGTGTCTTTTAGATAGTCATGGTCTAGGTTGTAAGCTTTCATGTTTACAGGCTCATACAGCTGAAAAATTGGAGTCTTACTAATACCTGGGTAATTCAAGCACACATTTCTAAAGTAAGACTGGTATCCCGGATTGCCTCTAAATTCAACTGGACGAGGGTCATAGTCATTATTGCATACTTCGTCACAGCCTGGCATGTCCAACTGTCTTGCTTTCATAGGGCTTCCTTTATGGGGCTTAGCACGATGAAAAGTTTGTAACCTCTGTGTGCAGGTGAGTTCTGTTTTGTATGTCCCATGCTTAACAAAATCTGCACATGAAAAAAGTACAGCACAGACATGCTTGCAATGTGCATCGGGTCCCATGCCTGCCGCACATTCACATTGAGACTCTATAACACTTCTGTCTTTTCCTATCATAATGTCAACAACATATTTCACAGACTTCATCATTGAAGCTTTTACACTACTTCTAACGAACCAATTTGAATCATGAAATGTCACCCTCACATACTGGATAAACCCATCGTTGTACATATCCCTTCCTTTCTTATCAGTTGTCTTATTAAACTTCGACAAGAAAGTGGAAATTTCTGCCTCTGTGCAACCTGGAAAGGTCTTGTCACCATGAAGGTCCTTGTAGAGTTGTGGATCTGGCGTCATCATCATAAATTCAGGTCCATAAACATCGGTCTTAGCACAATGTGCATTTCTTCTGTAGGCTTCAAGTCTGCAATAAAATAAGCATATTTAATTCTTTTTCATGTATATTTTGAGTGAAACATAGCTGCAACAATCAGGAAATAATAATACTGCTTCATAATAAAAATGTAGAGAAGTATTCTTATTTTACTGCAAGCACCAAGCAATATGAGATCGATGTTAGAATTACCGAGGAAATTCAAGTTAAAAATCTAACACGCTAAAGTTGCAGATTATTTAAGAATTAGTTTCTTAAACGAGGTAATTCTGATATTTACTGTCAATTTGACTTAATGTTAATCTTTTACACACCATTGATAATTATTTACTGTGTTATTAATAATGTTTACTTGGATTTGCATGAAAACATCGTATGTTTATTTACCTCTCCACAAGTTCCCACTTCCTTCCTGATTTCTTTGCTCCAAACTTTTCTAACTCGTTCTTAAGTTCAGGTATAGTCATATCACCACAATTAGATGCCATAGTAAATTAAGGATTGTAACTGAAACGTGTGTGCTTTCCGATATCGTATTCGAGAATGGATGCTGATTATCCATCTTCACAGGTTTTATCACTTTTGTAATGGACCGCATTTTCCTGTGGCGCCCCCTACCGATACAAGATAAGATAACCGACTCCGGTTCCCCATTTTAGTTATCGCATTTTCCTCACCATGTTCAATGTTGTCACGTCATGTTTGCGTCAAAGTTTGTGCTGAGTCATCAGAAAACTATTTTTCTTTTGTTCCTATATTTTTATAATATTTATTTTCTGTTTGTGGTAGATTGGTGACCGAGAGAGAAAAACAACTCTTGGCTTCAAAACAGTACACAAATCTGATTCACGAGCAAAAACGCATTGATGCAGAAATAGACAAGAAGGTGAGATAAAGCATTCAAGGACACCAATCATACCACGCATGTGTCTTTCATAGGTCTTGACTTTCATGATTTTAGTTGTGCAACGTTTTATGAAAATAATTAACACGTGGTTAATTGTTGTTGCTTTTGTTATGCTTAGTCTTGTAAAGATCGAACTTCTACCATCATAAAAAACAATTATATTTGCTTCAATAAAATTGTAATAAAAGCCATTTAATTAAAACAAAATCATGGAAATTTCTTTTATAATCATATATTTGAAAGGTTCATGAATGTACAAAGAATATATTCGCCCATAATTTTAAATTTAGCTTGCCCAACAAGAAGAGGATATTCGACTAGAAGAAGAAAAGTTCTATGAAGCAAAACGTGAGGCAGCTCGAATTGCAAAATTACAGAAAGCCAAAGAAATGAAGGCTAAAGTCTCAACCCAAGGTTCTGGCAAATCTTGGCTTGGAGAAAATGAAAAAGAATGGGATGTGTAAGCATTTTTCATATTTTATTGCATATGTTTATTTCTGCAAGTCCGAAAATTTCGAAAGTGAATTTTTAAGTGACAGTTAATATTATTTTCAGGGCTGGTGGTGAAGACGATTTTGAGCTCTTTTTAGCCAATGTTAAAGCTAGATCATTGAAAACCACAGCAAGACTTCGAGAAGGTTTGACTATACATTGATCTGGCCCTTTGCAACATTCTCCAGATAAGAAATAAAATAGAAGAAAAATAAATTATTTTTTAGATTTCTAAATGTTTAAGTTTTGAAGGACTGTTTCTTTGATTTGTAGGAGATGGTCAAAGTTCTAATAGTTCTGGACAAACAACAACACATTCCAAAGATCGGTCGCAGGCAGACGGTTCTTCTCTAGATTTGGAATGGGAAAATGAGGATGGTATGAAATCACAATAAATTTTGGCGAAGATTTTTTTTAATTTTGATTATTTGCTTTCAAATTGTCCCTTATCTTTCAGAATAATGTTTTAAGATGGTACTTTTCAAATATAAATTTGCTTGCAACTCTGAGTGCACTATCATTCTTTTTAAGCAAATTTGATTTTATATTGTTTAACGTCCCTCTTGAGAAGCAATATTTGAAGGAATTCTACACACAGAATAAGGTTGTAACAAAGCTTTTTTTCCCTAGGTCTTCCCCAAGTGAAGAAAGACAAATCTTCAACTGATGAAAATGCTGTCTCTTCTTCATCAACCCAAGGAAGACAAAGTCCCATAAATTCCAATGATCTGGAATGGGACAATGACTTTGTGTCGGCAGAAATCGATACCAGTGACACTGCACAACTTCTGGCGGCGGAGATGGCTATTCAGAAAACAGCTTCTCGTTGAATTACTTATACATGTAATAGTTATTTGTTGTTAAGCTGTTGACTTTTAGGTTATATATTTACAAGAAACGGACAGACTTAAAATGCTGTAAAAGATATTTTCATTGGACACAAAGAGAAGAAAGTGCTATACTTGTAGGAATGCTTGCTTCCAGAATCTTCATTTGCATTTGTGCTAACTAGGGGACCAAGATATTTTTACATACAGAGTGGATTTAAATAACCTCATTTATTTATCCTATACATAACATAGATATGATAAATAATACATTCTATTGTGTATATTCATCTATGTAATAATTTTATCAATAAAATACAATGTGTATTCTTTTTGGTATTTTGGAACCATAAAACACTGCATTGAGCTCAAAGAAAATGTGAATATGTCAATTAGACCATGTTGATCCGCAGAAATAACAAGAATCAAAACGGCATGATTTGATTTTTGTATTGACATTTTTATCCAGTGTTCAATAACACAACAGGAATGCATACATCGATGTATAATGATGAAGGCATAGTTGCTTAGTCTAGTTCTGATAAATAAAATATGGCAACTAGTACAAGTACTATAACAAAATAATAAACTTGACAATAAATTAAAGTAAAACAATGTTCTGACTAGAATGATGCATTGATATGGTGACATGGAATGACGATCTGTCCGTTTAAGATTATGCTTAACTATGTGCAAGAACGACTTGTGTACATATAAATATTTGATTGTGGAAGAAATGCATATTTTGATATTGCAAATGAGATTGAAAACATAAATGCCCTTTAACTTAAGTTAGTCATGAAAATCAACAGTTGTTCACAAAAATATCAGTGAATTCACAACTTGACATGTACGAGGGTTGTCCCATAAAATCGTGGACAAAGCGTTTTTCTCGAAAAGTAATGGGCGCACTAAGCTGAAATTTTCAGTAAATGTTTATTCATCATATTTAAGTGAATCATAATGTTTTTGATAATATATATTCAAAAATAAAGATTTTATTCTGCTTGAATGTGCACAAGGTACGTCCTACGGCGCACGGTAAAAATAGCAAAGTTATATTAGTGAAGACATAAAATATAATTCGTAATAAAAGTTTTCAATACATAAGATTAGGATGAAAATTATCCTTATTCCATTCCTTAGTCAATTTTGTCGTCTTTTTAAAAAATTCAAGGCATTTGGTTAATTTTTGGCAGTTTCCCGAGCATTTGAAATGGGAAAGTAATAAACACAATACACGAAAAATGGCGACTTTTTATGACGTTACGGTGCACCGGAGAGCAGTTCAGATAGATTAGGATGTTGTAATGACGCCTTAAGAGACTTTAAATGAATACAGAAAAAAGAAAATATGAAAAATATCACCAGATCTTTGGTATATAAATGAAATGAAAGTTTTCTTAGTGAAGTCTTCGCGGTCGAGTCCCCAGATATTACAAAACATATGGACAGACTGCCATTTGTAATAGCAAAGGACGCTGTCACTGTCGACCGTCGATGTGAGATTCTCTTTTAGTTGAATGATGGTGAGAATACTGTCTGTAACTTGCTAATAAATATTCAGAAGATCGCATGAGTGTGCCACATTGGTTTCTTAACTGGTTATAGATACTCACATATGTAAATCAATAAAAGTTCTAAATTTAAGTGGGGCTTATCCAACTTTAAGTTTAGCAAAGATGAAACGTGACGCTGTTTTAGACACTTTGACGTTATCATCCGTGCGCCGTAGGGCGATACAGTACATAACATAAATTATCACAATTTGTTTACTTATGCATATATCTATTTGAAAATTGCTATGTATATTTATAATTTATCTACTTAAAAGTGGTGAAAATTTCAGAACGCGGTGATGATTATTTTTCAAACTAGACAACTTGTCCACGATTTTATGGGACAACCCTCGTACACACTCATGCAGTTTTTCTCAAAGATCATCATCAAATTTAGGGGAGATAAAATTAAATTCTCAGTTATAAATGTGTGTTGCAGGGAAATGTAAATAATCGCATAAATTACATTAATCATGCAATTTGTAATTGAAAAGTGATGAATTTCGGGAGATATAAGTAATTTGAAAATGACCTCTTTTGTATACATGAGTGGTACTTAAGTATTTTCAATCCGTCGTGTAAATAGTATTTGGTATCATTGCAAATTATCACAGATCGGTTCCAATTTAATTTCTTGCTAATGAGCATGGTATTTAAAGCGATGTATATACAATTTGAATTCTGATAATTTTTGTTGTATTTACAAAACCGATTCAGATTCCAATGTATCTGCTATCATCTTACGAAGCATGAAATGTAAATTGTTGCAAGAAAGCATTTAATTTTAAGTTTCCTTTTGAGACTTGATAAAGTAAATGATAGTTTAGGATATATTGTTCTTGACATTAATATGGACATCCTTAAATATGAAATGGAATGGTTTCCAGGTTTCGTTGGTTGAAATGTAATGATTGGTCCTAGTTTTCACAATCCAAAGGCTTAGATGAGCTTTTCAGATCTAAAGTCCGTTGTCTATCGTTGTTAGCGTTGTCGTCGTGAACGTTTTCTAATTCCTTCCTCTCCTCCAGAACCACAAGGTCAAATTTCAACAAATGTTTATCGCTGCTCTATCTGGCTTTGTAATCATAACGTTGAACAGACGGAGGAGTACCATAACGTCTGGGTGTCGCATACGAAGCTTGAGAAACCGAGGGCACCCGAACATGATGAACACGGACTACCTCCCTTGGAGGAGAGTATGAGCGTTTTATTTCCCGTGGTTCCCTTGGTGTGGACCGGTGTACACGTGTGGGCGCAGAATGGTCATCATATTCTTTATATATCCAGACGCCCTTAGGACGGCGGGGTGTGTAGTATACGGGGGTTTCGGCCCTAGAGGTGTAGCGTGGTGGAGGGGATTCTATTTCCGGTAAACTTGGGGTAGAAGGAGTTCTGACCACACGTCTGTGACTACGACGTCTATACACTTTGTTTTTAATATCAGGTATTAACATACAACCAGCACAAATAAATAGGAATGATGCTATTGTAACGAGTCCAAGGGAGTAGGAAGCATAGAAATCAGTAGGTAATGAGGTGGCATAAATTATCACACCTATCAGAATGAAAAGGGCTGAAAGCAAAAATTAGATAAAATGAATATATAAAATTAATTTATATTTTACAAATTTACAGAGTGAGTATTTCTTGGTTATATTTTTTTCAAATCTCAGTATACACTTACCTGCAAAAAAAGTGAAGCACATGATGGTAATAATCATTGTCCTGTATCGGGCCCCCTCAGCCGCAACATAAATACTGTACAGGACTGTGGCTATTACTGCTACTATCAAAACGATAATCATAAGGGCAAGGGTTCCATCTCGCCCACCTGGAAAGAATAAGTCCATTTTTTTAGCATGAGAAGATGACTAATTCATAGATTCAGTAGAGTACAGAACGGAATGAAGAGTAGTTTCTTATGAAATACATAGACACTCTAAAGATAATACTGAACGGTCAACAGGGGATGTTTATACTAATCCTAGGCACCGGATCCCAGTCTGTATTTTTGCCTTTTTCACAAATTTGTATAGTTTGTGGATTTCTTGAGATTGATCGCTGTTCGCCATTTACATTAATTTATTATTAAAGACAAAAGGTATATTGAGTCGGTACTCTAAAAATTGTTTTTGCTGGTTGTTGCACAGTTTTGAATAAATATATGATAATTTGTTAAAAAATAATTTCTTGTGCAAGAAATTACAGATATGCGTGCTAGTAAACATTTAAATTTTCTCTGATTGAGGAAACATTTTTAAACATATATTTTGACACATTTCTTGTCCATCAGTACTTAGTGTATCACCTTAGTAAAAGAAAGTGTGATCAAATTTGTGACAGAAGCAAGAATTATGTAAAATCACAATAAACCCAAGTTCCTTTCGAAGGAAAAGGCTCGAAATTTAGATCGTTAGCATACACAACATTTACTTTTAAAGGTTCCGAAACATTTCAAGATCCATGTAAAAAGTATTTTTTACCATTATGATTTGGATTTTGAGTCAAATATTGGATTTTTGAAATAATACTTACTGTTTTCGTAAGCAGATGAGAGATCCTGTGTGGTACAGCTACCTGTTGAACAATCTATCATCCTGAAGAGACCGACGATAATATCCTGGTTGTTCTGGATAGTTATGGTAGCCATCCATCCTATTGTACCGAATCCCGACAAAAACAAGGCTAGTCCGATAAACTGAACCACTAGACCGACCTTTGACCACGTTGTTGCCGTACCGCAATACGCCATCTTATAATCAACTTAAATCTTCTACACTTTGGTTTTAATTCCTCACATTTTCTTTTTAAGAAATCGATTTAAAATGGAATTATTTTGAATTTTTTCCTCTCTCTGATACGTGTTATCTATCCCATTTCACTTTCAATTCTCAGCAAAGATGCGTTAATTATCATTTTATAAAATGGTCATTTAACATTGCTTGTTCATTTCTTTTGCGCAATTTCAGCCCAAGAGTTTTTCTCCAATATCAACCAAACATTGAACCATTAATGAACACCTATTTGATTTCCTGAACAGTTGGGAGAAGCGGTTGTTTCTAAAACATCATTCAAGCCCTTCTCCCTCCATGAGTCCCTATTTAAAGATTATAAAAGAAATTTGAAAAGTTTAAATAGCTGATTTAAATCTATTTGGCGGAACAATGATGAAATACCGAATGGGGTGCTTTAATTTTCTGTGGGTACAGAGACCTTTACTTGTCTATCGTGTTTGGGGAATTAAATGATTTACAATTATGTAAACGTTGTTTGTCATAAAAGGTTCGATCACTCATGATTTCTCACAAGGGGGAAAATAGGACTTTGAAATCTATGTTGACTTTCTCATAACTTATGTATTTTTTAATAATAGCTACCATTTTCATTTTGAATATTTTTAGTCAAAAATATCATTAGATATTACATGACAAATACTTACTTAAAATTGATATCAATGCAACGGACATTTAAATATTCATAAAAGTCTAAGTTAATTGTAGAGAAAACATAATCAACCTAAATATTTTTTCAAAGAATTTTTTATTTCCTAATTTATGAGTGATGTAAAAAAAATATGTGCACTTTTTCAGGGGAGTCTTTAGTGTATAAAGCCATCAAATTGTGTCTTCAGAAGTACACTGTGTGCCTAAATGTCTATTTTTATTAGTTTGGTCGCAGCCTTAGAAACTAGGGAAATGTTCAAGACGTATGAGGAATGGTTGATTTATTTAATATAATACAAAATATTAACCAAAGTACGTGTGTATTTCTATCTAATAAAATAAACTAAGTTTAAATATATATTAATGTCATTTCTAATACTCATAAAACGTAAATTTGTTTACGCAAATGTCAATAACAATGATGAGTTTTAAATTATTTCAATGGAACGTTTATGCTAAAAGATTAGTAGTTGCATTAAAATCTAATTATACGTATTCTTTTTTATTGCTTTTTATTAAGAGATGTCAAAAAGGCCATAAATTAGTAAAACGGTTATCTGGCGGATTCCTGAATATGAAAATGACTCGATTATTTTGATTCTGAATTTAACCATAAAAAATAAATTAATATTAATAAAAAAAAGAATGCTGATGATCAATACATGTAACATGCCTATAGTTTCAAACGTTTTAAATCATATCCAGTTTGTGAATTTTCAATAAAGAAGTATTTAAATACAATTAGACAGTTTCTAAATTTCCTTTCATTTTGTTATAAATAAGAAGCTATATGTAAAAAACAAATCAATATATTCTGTATCTCGTTTGTTAAAATAAATGATGTTCAAATTTTTGGTGATCATTAGATGATGCCTTAGTTAGGAATTGGAAGCATTAAAATTGATTTAAAATTTAATCAAAATTTAGTATTTAGAGTAAATTTCCTATTATTGAAGCTATGAAAAAACAAATCAATATATGGGAAAATCTTACCTCCGAAATTTGATTTATTTAATCAAATCTTGAAAAAAGAAGAAATATTTTTTATTCATCCCACCCATTTCTTGTTTTCTTTCATCATCACCCTTTAATGATAAAGCGACTCTTCTTTTCAACGAATTGGATTTCCTTTTATTCATGGGTGCTTTAACGCAAAAATTTCGGCAAATGGATAAAGAATGTTTTACTTGTTTTGAAGGAGAGGTCGAAAGACGATGTTATAAACACTAAACAAGTGGACAAGCCCACAGAATTTAGTTTTTAATGACACTAAGCATTATTTTTCCTGCCGATGGCACTAAAAATCTAACAAACACTTTTAAATCTACCATTAATTAACACATAAGGCCTAGTTTTCTTTTCGTTATTTTATTTTACTAATACTATCGTATTGTCAATTAATAATGGTCCATGGCACCCGATCCCACCTCTGATGCTTTGGAGGTCCATGTTTGCTCTGCTCCTATTTTGTATTGTTTTATGGACTTTTATATTGAATACTGTTCGTTATCTCCATATCCTTCACGTATAATATTTACGAACTGCACTTTTTATTTATTTTTTTTATTTGCCATTACACCGTATGAGAAATATTTGTTAAAATTTTATTTTGAAATTAAGGACTTTTAGTTAATACCTATCGTATAAATGTGTTTATTTCAATATAATTACCAGTTAAATGCACTGAATAATAGTTTTCATTCTTTAAAAAAAGGGCCCAGAAAAAATTTAAATCATTAGGTTTTATCAAATGATTTTCGTGTTTCCTTACAGGGAAAACATGATTAAGGACATATGCAAGGTACCTTACCGATAATTTTCCCAAGATATTATTTTAAGATAAAAAGTGTCATTAGAACTTCAGCATGTGTTACCAGGTGTTTTGAAAAGATATTATAATTGATGAGAAATCTTTTACAATTTGAAGAAAAATATTCAAAAATTACTATGCCTATACTAGATCTTTTGTACATCAAAAAGTTGTTTTAGAAGATATATGGACATAAAATATAGCACACAATTTATCAAAGTATTGAGACTCTTCAACTCCCGGGAAAAGGCGATTAATTTCTAACTACGTTGTGTATTTCCTTAAGCACTCAAAACACAAGTAAATTTTATTGAAATGATGATATCATTTTCCTTCACGTTAAAATAGCATAATACAAGTTTATATCGATAGAGTTTTGTACCAATGTAATTCAAATTGATTCATCTTTTTCAGCAAGTATGTTTACTTTTTTTCATAGCAAAGGGGTCAAATTTACGCATTTTTTTCATTTGTATTATATTCTTGAAACACAAGCTTGCACAGATGTGACCAGAAAATAAACAACGCATATGAATTATCTTTTTTTGGGGCCAACTTTCCATGTTGAATGGGAGACATATATTTTTAAAAATTAATTTGTTACATGCGTATCGATCACAAAAATATAGACAAAAATATTTTTTTTATTGATATTACATATCGCCACAAATTCACAATATATCCCCTCCTTTTAAAAACTTTTACATTGAACATCTAAAAATGCTCATTTGAGTTTGAAAAGTCAGAATTGTTAAAATTTCGCTACTGATTTATTCTCGACATTTACATTTGCCGATTCGTTTTCTTTCAAAAAGAATTTATTGAAAAACACCATCTACAAGTTCATCACCATGGCAATTGCAAATAAATGTAAATAGACATAAACCTTTGATTAATAAAAAAGGTGATTTAATCCTAAACAATTTCTAATAAATTTATCTTTCTGGCAATATACACATAATACTGCTAATAACGTTTGTTTTAATTCATTCAAACATTTTAATCACAGATATCCAGAAAATTCTTGCACTTTCTTGGTGTACCGGTCATCGATTGTCAGATCTTCATCCTCCATGGGATTCTTTGAAATATCTTCGTTGTGATCGTCGTTGTTTTCATCATTATTCTCATCAAGTTGTATCGTCAGTTCTGTCTGTGTTACAGGACGCTCATACGGTTCCGGAATTTTCTCCATGGTGTTCTTCAACAAAGAACATATGAAAAAATTACACAAGTTTTAATAGTAATGATTAATTTTTTTATTTTTTTTATTTATTTATTTTTTTTGTTTTTTTTTGTTGATGTAGTAAAATTTAACTCAAAACATGTAGTTGGATAGAATTGCTAATTTATTTAGCATTACAGATTATTTCTAAAATATCAAACAGGTTATGTGTATTTATGTATATAAAGGAATTTATGTGATCTAAATACCGTATAAGTGGAAATTTTAGCGAGACGCAAATTTAGCGATTTGTCCTTAAAATCAGGTAATTTATTTTTAGCGAGAAGTTAATTTAGCGATTTTAAAATACACATTAAAGAAGCTATTACAAATAAAACGCAACTAATTTTTAGCGATATTCAATTTTAGCGATCTCGGCAGTCTCGCTAATAATGCCAAAATTAAATCCTCGCTAAAAATTCTACTTATACGGTACGTAATAAATTGTATATTTTTATTAATCAATAATTTTTTTGAATTCATGGGTCCCGAAGGGTTTTTCCGGGTTTTATACTTAAGCGTCCTCTAGTAACGGCTATTAGCCTTATCATTATCAAAATAACATTGGGCTCCAAAAGGTGGTTTACAAATTTTACCCACCACCACCCCTTCAATCCTCCATAATTATTGTTATTGTAGAAAATACATGTACTAGTTTCTTTTATATAAGGTGCCTATTGTTATTGCATAACTGTTGTTATTGTAGAAAATAGATGTACTAGTTTCTTTTGTATAAGGTACTTATTGTTAATTTTGTAGAAAATATATGTACTGGTATGTACTAGTTTTCTTTTGTATAAGGTGTGGGATGTTTTTGGGCCCCACCTTCTGCTGCATTCTGAAATTGTTAAATCTGTAATCTCATTTGGCATTTGTAATAAATGCTCTATACACACACACACCCTCTTTATTATTTAACATGCTGCAGAACAGAGCTGCAAAATATTAATGTGCTTCAGGTTCACATGAACCGAATTGTTCATCATCAGTTTTAGTATTTAAGAGCACATAAAAAATAATAAATTAAAAATCTTACGAATCCATCCTTCCCGTATTGTAAAAATATGTCTTGCAGAAGATTGACGATATTTGGCGGGTCGAAATCTGGCTTTCTTGATTGCAAGAGTTCATACTTGCGCACTAAAAACATAAAATATAAATCTGAACAAAGAGGCTTAACCCGTGTACAGTTCAGTCATACTTAATCTCACTTTTCAAAATTCAAAACTTTTATACCAGTATGTAATCAATATCGGAAATTAAATACATATATTTAAAGAAAAAGATACTGTACCTGGTTCAATGCCCTCGGAGGCAGTGGATTTCTTTTTGCCCCCAATGTTCATAAACATTCCAACGATGTTTTTGACGGAATCGCTGACGACGTTCGTAAGACCGTAGATACTTTCTCCATCTTGTATCTCTTGTTTCACTACTGTTATACTTATGTTAAGAATAACAGCAAACATAGAGATAAGTACCAGAATAACGATTAGTATGTAAGTAAAATAGTACACTTCTCCGAGTGCCACCCCCGCACCGCGCAAAATATCCAGATGGTTTTTACCAATTATAGAATTTAGAAGGCTTCCAAAAGAAACAAATAACGATCTGTAGGAGGAAGAAATTTTCCCGAAAAGAAGATACCCAGCCACCACATAAGCAAAATAAATGATGCCAAACACGATGGCGAAACCTGACAAGTCTTTAGATGCACCGGAAATTACAGCAATCAGTTGTGTCATTCTTCGATTGTATCCTAAAATTTGAAGAATCCTAATCGTGGCAATGAAGATTAAAATTCCAATAACGACAACGAAAGCATTATCCCAGAATGCAATATGTTGAAACTGAATAAAATCAAGTTTGTTGTCGTAGTATTTATCCAACGCTTTATTTGCGTAGACATAGCGCACGGCCCAGAAGGCGATTGCTATCACCCCTAGAAACGTCGACACGAGATCAACAATGTTCCATGTATCTTTGAAAAAATTACATCGCTTTTTCCATATTTGAAACATCATTCGACCAGTTGAAATTAACAAGAAGATAACGTAAATGAAATAACACAATAAAGCGTAAGTCCCGATAGCGCCCAACGCTTGGAATGGTCTGAATACCTGAAGATTGACCCATGTGACAACACCAGCTGATTCGGGAAACTCAACCAAATAAATTCCATTGAAGAAAAGATTCACATTTGGATTATACAACGTGAATTCCAAAAACACTGATCGAGTCCGTCTATCAATCCAAAGATTTTGCTCCAGTTCGTTTATGATGTCATGAGATGCAACAATGTCTTTTTCAAACTGGATCATATACCCCCCTCCACCGTATGTGTTTCTTAATCCTTCAAATGGCATCCCCCATACTTCGCCCGATGATGTGTATTTCCAGGCTCTGTCTGTTAAAGAGCTACCACAAGAACCGTTTGTAAGTTTCCAACCCAAGCAATAATTGTCAACATCTTCATTTTGAATATCGTATTCATTGACGCATCGATGGTGTGAATCCACCACAAAATTGCAACTTGCTGTAATCAAATTAAAAGATTTCTGTAGCTTTATTCTTGATAATGAAAAAAAATCACATGATATTAACTTTCCGTCCATCCCCCACCCCCGATCATGATATTAAATAGCCCCTTCATGGTAACTGCAATACTACTCTTTCGCAGGGCAAATTGATAAAGGTATGGTGAAGTTTTTATTGATAGATAATTAAATGATGTACGTGTATATTACACAATTATTTTTACGTCATATTTCACCAAATATATATATCAATCATTTTGCCCAGCAAATAAGCAGTACCGCAGTTATTGTGAAAGGGCCTATTCCCCTCCCCTACACTCGTTACAATTCATAGTGGTTATGACCGTTCAACAGGTAATGCTTACTCCTCCTAGGCATCAGATACAACCTCTTGAATTAGTATTGTTTTTACATTGTTTAGATCATCTTAATTTTTTTTAATTATATGTGTACTTACATTCTTTCATTCTGTTTTGTCGTAAAAGGGCTGGTCCAACTCGTACTTGACTGAAGTCTGAGAAGAACTGCTTGTCCAGGACCGAAATTGATTGACCACGAATGTCCGAAGTAGGGAACAAACGAGGTAGCAGCGTGTGACGCAACCATTCTATAAACGTTCTGGCGCTTGTTATCTATTATGATACCAAAAGATATATAAATTCATATATAATTTCTTCTTCATAAATTTTGGAAATAATAATTATAAAAAGTTTCAATGTTATCTATTTAATATGTAAACATTTTTAAAAAAATTTTGTGCTTAATATTTTATTTAAGAAAGAGGTCCTTTTCTGGTTTATAGCTTAAATGATTTTTTATGGTTAGTACGATCTTCAAATTCATAAAATCAGCAGGTAATTAACTGAAAATATTCAAAAAATTATCTCCGAATTCAAAATCTATGCATATTTACTCACAGAATCCTTCTAAATTTATTTTACAGTTATGCATGATGTTATATACAAAATATGTTGGTTTTATTTTTTTAATTTCAAATATACATTTAGGAAACGCAAACATCAATTTAAACGTTAAAAAAAATTATCCCCAAAAACATATGCATATATCCAAGCATTTAGAGAAGTGTGTTTTCATACTTAGGCTGTATTCTATGTCTTATATTACCTTCAATTATAATACATAGTGTAATAGGTTGTACTATCATTACAAGACACAATTTCACCCATTGTATGTTAATAACTTGCATTGATACACATGCGTGTACCTACGGTAGATTCAGGAAAAATCATTTTCTCTATAACTGTTTCATTTTTTGTACTTTTCAAGGCTAAAAATGTAAAAATCTTTTGCAAGATATTTTAGTTATACATATATTTGTTTCTCGACGACTAATGATGTTTTACCGAGGTTATTCATATTGTTTCCACTTACACTTTCAAATCCGTACGTTCCTTTGGTCGTGTGGTAAATCTGACTGTCTATACTCCTTCTAAGGTTGTATGATCGAGCATCTCTGTTTATGTATCCGATGCTGAAGACGATAAACACAAAGACGGCGTAAACCACGAGCCTCCTAAAAACTGCCTGAGCTGCCACTTCATTCTGACGTAACTTCCGCTGCGAGTCTAGCAGCGTTTCATCGGGTGGACCATTGCTACATAGTACTTCATTTCGGAATGCTAAAATGATTGTTTTAAAATAGGGTTTTTAACTTAGGTTTACTTTACAAAACATGTTGCAAAAACAGACTTCCCTCATTCAAAAGGTACACATTTCGTGTCTGAGAGAAAAAAAAACTATGGTCAAGGTCAACAAGTTAAAATCGAAGTATATTTGATAGAGACTTCTCATAGCAATTTGCACCTATAAATCAAAAATGTCCTTTCTTTTCTTGATCTAAGTATTTTTAACTATGTATTAAAAAGTATAAGAATTTTTAATGGAGTTCAAACTTCCACATCAATGTCATGAGGTAAAAGGTCACAAAATTTAATTGAAAATGGTTTTATGCGTACTACGCATTTGCAAATATTCATTCACAAGTTATTACTGTACCAAAATTTATACTTTTGAAAAATAGGTAAGTCTTCTCTCTGAAGGTAAAGAGATAATTTAAAATGGCATTGTATACTCTGAAATGTTTTGTCACAGGTAATGCACATGTATAAATGTCCTAAAATCTTTTTCCATCAAAAAGTTTATAGAAGTTATATAAGTTTATAAAGAGGGAGACTAACTAAATTAATATCTCCAGGTTGATTTTAGGAATACTCACTTAAATAAATTCTAGAAGAATTCTGCTGTTTTTGCTCTGCAGCTGTTTTGATAACGTCCAAATCAACATTTGGGCATTTCCCATCAACTGGTTTCCTGAACAAAATGGCCACCAGAATGGCCATAACAATCACCTAAAAAAGAGGTACTCGGTAGAGAAAGTATTAATTGCCGGGTTTTATCATTTATTAAATTAAATTTTAAATTGAATTATAAATGAATTGGCAGTAACAAATTAAATTCAAATCTAATGTGGATGAAATTTAACTTAATGAAATGAAAGTGATGTTCTTTAGTACGTTTATTGGATCCAAGACAAACAGCGATTCGAAGAAAGCGAAGACAAACGTTGAAAGCCATTCTTCCGATTTCGTTTTTCCAAATTCCATACTGTACAGGATAACGAAAAAGGCAGATGTCAGAATTGCAAGAATGAGAATAGTCCAACCAACATAAACCATGCCATGAGGCAACGGTAATTTTTCATCCTTGAAAAAGTTGACAGTATCCTCCTCTTCGTTATAGTATTCATCATCCGGGGATTTTTCTTTCTTGTCTTCCTCTTTTTTCAAATTTGTAACAGTATCTTTGGCTCTTGACTTTTTGAATATAAAAGTGACTATGAAAATTGGCACTGTGGCGATGAGAATACTTATAAAAGAAATATAAAATGTTGTTAAAGAAAACTTAATTATTCCAATCGATACTTGATTAGGCCGAACTTCATCATCAGTTTTGAAGAACATGCAACTTGTTATCATGGTGAGAAAAAGTAAGGCAAAAGCACATGTTAGTCTCTGAACTCGGGTAAAGTTGCTTCGCTGAGGACGTATAATCATTGACAGCCATAAATGGTTTTCTGTGGCGTTAAATCGAGCATGCTCAGATATCAGCTGATCGTAGGAAGTAAGGGTTTGATTTGAAGTCAGCGGGAGAATTCGTTCCACCATCCCGTCATCCTGCTCGACTGCCAACCATTTGTCACACAAAAACACATATCTATATAAAATAGGTCAAAAGGAGAAATATTATATTTTCAACGATTGATTTAATCAAAACTTTTAAAAATTAAAAATGTTGAAACAGATAACTTGCCTTTTTCCATTCTGCAGATCGTCTACGAGTATCTTATCTAAATACCAAGATTTCTCGTTTCCAATCCCAGAATTATCATGCCAAACCCGAAAATACGTCAGATCACCCAAACAAAATTTCGTACCCATTAAGAACGTTCTTAAGCTTCCAGTTTGAAATCCCTGTAAGGTAATAATAATGTTTAGTAACACTTGAGGACGGAGAAATTTTATAACTCAAAAGAAATTCTGATTGCTTTGTCAATTATAAGCAAAGAACTTGACAAATTTCGTAAACTTACTTGAGTGTAGCCATCACTGAGGATTCGGACCCCAGAATCCCCATCCTCTCCCCCTATAATGAAGTTAACGTTGGACTTTGTACCGCCGTCACGTCGGAGTCCTGTTTGAACAGTGATTAAGTAAAAGTATGCGTCTGAATTCTCGCTGTCCACCAAGAATCGTGTTCCCCACTGTCAGAAAAAAAATTTTAATGACTATAAGTGTTTCTTAGTTTTTCTTTCTTAACAAAAATACAGAGGTCATATTTGGTGGATTTTTATTCACGTGTTCTATTTTTTACAACAGATTTTATCAGTGCTAAAAGTAAATACTTTTTCAGAAATCATTTAAATTTTTAGAAATGATAAATTACCACATACTTTTAATTCATATTTTAAAAATACTAAACAGTTGCACTGGAAGGCATTTTGAAGGAGTCTTTCTTTCTATTGATTACAAATCTAGTTAATCTCTAGGAAATCTCTACCTTGGTAACATCCTGTTTATCCTTTCGTCTCAGGTACAGTAACGCTATAAAATATATCACAAGCAAAGCAGCGATAGTGCCATAGACAGCAGCATTCTCTGGGTCGAATTTCCCCCAAACTGCATGGAAGTCGATCTTGTTTGGGGGAACATAAAACGTTGTTGCAAACATAGTTCCTGGGGGATCCGAGCATCGACATATGGTCTCATTAAAGGTAGAAATATCCAGAACCTAATTTTGTTTTACAGGAAAATATATATTAGAATTAATCAATTCTATCATAAATGGTAAAATATACAAAGTATAAATGAGTCAATTCAAGCTAAAATGGTGTAGGCTGATCTTGCAATGAATGGCATTTTAAAATCATGCTTTATTATTATTTTTTAAATTCATATATCAAATATTTATTTGAGATTTCCTCCAAACTCAGATACTATACAATTATTGCTGTTTTTGAGGTGAAAACAATGATTTAGCCATCTGAGGAGTACAATATTGTACTACGAAGATGGATAAATCATTGTATTGACCGAAAAATAGCAATAATTGTTTTATTATATGATTCACTGATAAAACGATAGAGCTCATTTCTTGTGTGCATTTAATTAAGTCCTAGCCAAATACATGTATAAGAGAGAAGCAGAATTAAAATGTAAATAAACCTTAATACTCGTATCAATTTGAAATGTTTTTATCAATTCTATTAAAAAAAAATATAGAGTCAGTCTTTTTTTAGGATAGATTTTGAAAGAAAGGAGTATTATCAGGAAAAACTGACAGTTAAAAATTAAATATAGCGTAGATTTAATTCATATGTTATCACCACGGCTTCCGTTTTGAGGGCTCTGACAGTAAAATAATAGACGGGGTCACGTATCCCCGTCTAAAAATTGTTGTTCAGTAAAAGTGTTGGAGGAGGGTCCCTGCATCCCCTCTAACCACCCTCACCCAAAAATATACTTATATTCGCTTATGTTTTGTTCACATGAAAAAAAGTCATAGTTATTCGTTTAAATATCTTTCCAAAACAATTTGCATGAATTTGGAATTTCCCTATCTATTTTTAGATCAATGTAGAGGAAATAAATCCTTGTATTCACCTGGGACGTCACGTGCAGGTCAGTACAACGTAGTATTTTTCTAACATAGTTGGATCTAAGCCAATCAGAGAGATGGAAATTATTCAATCATATAATGATTAAACATTTATTCAATTTAAGATATTGTATTAACAAGCCAAAAAAATACACATTACTTTACAACCGTTATCCACCCAGAGACTCGTTGCCTCGTCATATGTTCTACATCCTGATGTTGCTAAGGCTATGCTGAAATTAGCCTCTGTAGGGTTAAAAGAGGGCGACGTAGTGTTAACTGCAGCCCGCTTTCTTCTCCGGGTATTTTGAGACTCGTCAATTACTACAGAACAAGACATATAATCTTTAGGTACATATGAGAAAGATAATATCAGTAATATCTAACTTCATTGTTAGAATGTTTTACATATATTGTTTTAAAATACTTTATGAATAAAATATAATATTATCAATTTATTGTTAGAACGTTTCACATATACTGTTTTAAAACTACTTTATAAATAAAATATAAATATTATTCCCCAAAATATTCTGTTAATTCCCTTCTTAGTTTAATGTTTAATGTACATTTGAGTAATATACATGTAAATGTAAATATACATTGAAATGTGGGAATGTTTAGCACAAAAAAGTATTCAAATTTTAAATATCCACCGTTGTTTGATACAAGTTAAAACTAAAAATTACATATATGCATAAAAAAATTAAAATATATTTAAATACCTTTTTTAGGTTTCAATCCAATGTATAATTTCCCTTTTCGAAATATTTTATCAGGAAGAAAGATTTTGAAACCAAAGGGTTCCTCCCAATTTGAACCTTTGATATCTGTTTTATAATCGTAAAGATTACTTTCTGGATGCTCATCCATGCGTCCAAAAGCAGTATATAAAATCTGATCACCAAGACCCGATTGATCATATGCATCGGGTTTGACATACACTATTGCTGCATCCGGTCCGTCGAGGTTTGTGATGAAGTAAAACATAGGATCCTCGCCTTCAGATATGTTTGTAAAAAAGAATGACTTTGCATACACCGTTCCATTGTTTTGGAATTTAATATTCTTTGGAATGTCTATTTCTTGTTCAGTTTCATCTCTTGTTTGGATGGAAACCAATGATGATCTTATTTTGTCGGAACCAGAAGCAAAGAAGTAAGGGTTTTTCCTATATTCTGTCATCTGTCAATATAAAACAAACCTAAGATTTATTATATCTATTTAATAATTTCCATATAATTTCTGTAAATGACCATTATTTATATTCATTTAATTATATTTCAATGGAGTGGCGATGGTATACGTACATTTTCATTCTAACTATAAAGGGTTAACATAATTTTTTTCAAGGGAATTTGCAATATTGAAAAATTGCTAATTTCTCAGTAAGACCTTTTTATAGTAAATAAATTAAAGTTTTGATAATATCGATATGTATATATGAATAATAAAACCAATGTTCAAAAATAGATAAAGATGGAGACAGTGTATCTAAGTCATGTGATTGAAAAAAATAAGAAAATAAATTGCTTTTAACAGTGGTTAGTTCAATCAACTCATTCTCCTCATAAAACATAGATTTGAAATATACATGCATATGTATTTACATTAACTTTACTTTGATTTTAAAAGGTGAGATGATTGTTCACTTTCGATTATGTTTGACTTACCCATACTTCTACAGCCTTTGCCTGTGAGTTGTTGAGTACCTCACTATCGAGTTCCAATCCAGTATCACGTCTCTGAAGTGTTTTACTTATCAAATCTTCTCGCTTATCCTTCTGTACTGACATCTGTAGTTGATCCGTGGTAATCGTGTCTGTACCCGTCCCTACCTGAACAATTCTGGATTTCGCTTTGAGTGAATTTTGGATGGCTGATGACATCTTTGCTCCAGCATTTCTTGCCTTTAGCAATCAAAACAAAACAGGGTAAAATTGAAACAATTTAAGTTCTTTGAATCATGCTTAACAAAATATTGTTAATCAGCATTATCATTTCCATTCAATTTCCCAAATCTGTTGTTGTACGTCATCTAAAATCTGACTTTTTTTATACCGTTGGTGATTTCTTTTGCTGCTGTTCTCTGTGTTTTTTCTTTAGATTCAAAACTGACTCCGCGAGTGAATTCTTTTCCTCTGCCGTCATGTTTGCCAGATTCGTGTTTCCGTCATTATAATACTCAGCATCACTGATATCCGACAAGACATCTGTCAGTGTTGGCTCTTTTTCCGGATCTGATATCTCATTGGGAACCATGATATCTACAAGGTTGCTCAATGCCTCAAGTACACCTAAAAAAAAATAAAAAGAAGACTGATTGATGAAAATCGTTTAAGGAGGAGTAGATATAATTTGGCCCATCTTTGCGATATTAAAGATTTTAATTTTCAAAAACTGCACTTGTCTGCAAGCGTTGCTGAAAATGAAAAAAAGTAACTTGGTAGATGTTTGAAATGCGTACAGTTTGTTTGTGAATATGTACAATTATTTCGAAAATATTTGATGAAAATATTGTTGTAAAGGAAAGGTTGTACATGTAGATACATATACAAAAGCTATATAGCTAATTACTTTTGATCCGCAAGAAAAGACTAATTGATACATAAAAGATCTGTTAAAAGCCACTATTTCATAAGTGGATATGATTTTTTTAATATTCAGAATTTTTTTCTTCTTTTATTGATAACAAACAATGATATAGATAACACACAGATAAACTACATTGCATTGACATTTGATAATTTTTTTTTTAAATTTTGATGAATCATTCAAATTAATTTCATATCTCTCTTTACCAGAGGCAGTATCTTGTATGTTTTGTATTTCCTCTACTGGAAACGGATTGTTAAAAGACACTTGACGAATATTGTCCATCAAGACTCTAGTTCCTTCGGCTGCAGTCTCCTGTAATTTAAAATTCCGAGTTTTAATATCAAGTATTATCAGAGTACTTATTTCTGCTATGTAGCATTTTTATCCTTGCCCCGTTATTTTATCAATTTGCTTCTAACTAAAACTTCAAATTTACTGCATTGTAAAGCATGTTATACAAGAAGGGGAAAATAACTATGAGAACTCCAGTAAATTACATACTATCCACCTTTTTTTAATACTTATCTGCTTTAAAAAATTATTTCAGGATAGTATTCTTTAACCAGAATCTTTTGAAAATCATTCGGCGATACATTGGTAATAGCGAATATCCAAAGCATCTTATATTCCTGAAACCGCAATCCGCTATATCCATTTAATATTTTTGTTCAAGTATTAATGTTCATTGAACTTGGACAATAAAATGACTTATATGAACTTGGGTTTTATCGAAATTTTTCATTCATTTAGAAAATATTTAAAGAAGCTTTGTAATATGAAAAAGTAAGACTATTTAATGTACTGATGACTCAATACAACATGAACCCTAATCCTTCTTAAAGGAAATTGCGAATGGTTTTAAGGAGAACGACGCCTACCTTCACAGCAAGCTCGGAAATTATTTTCCAAGTTGCCAGAAAGACACCAGAATTAAGATACAATTGCTACAAAACAGTACATGTCACTGAAACCTTTTTACAAACTAATGCAACATCGATCTACCAATCACTTGAAATAATTGTATTTTCATCTAAACATTTAAACAACATGAACTATAACAAATAAATCAGTGATTCCACTGTCAAAGTGAGAGGCACTTGAGTGTCTTTATTTTGAGACCCACTGTGCGTAGCTGTCTTCATTTTAATTAATCGATCCAGTAGAATAAACCAATAGGTCAGGTTTCTGATTCTGTATTTTATGAGTGCTAGCTCATCTATCTATTTTAAAAGATAAGTTTGCAATGTATAGTTTACCACAGAAACATCATCTACAATCATTGGATTTGAAACACAGGAAGCAAGACTTCGCGCCACTTGGCGGGCATTTGCTGCACTCATTGGACTGTCACTGGTTGCTGGAGTTTGCGATGTGGCGTTCAAAAGAATTTCTGTAAATTGCCTTGTTCTCTGAAATTCATAATAAATGCTGTACTTTTATTATTTAGTCTGCATAACATTTGATAAAATGTTTCTTTGTTGTTTCTTTGAATCAATAATTTTAGTTTCCAAGTTAAATGTGCAAATCTTTGATGTAATTTACGCAGAAATATAAAAATAACAAAAGTAAATTTTATTACGTTAAAAATCAGGTCCATTTACTTAAATCTTGAAAATTTACAACGATTTTTACTATGAGGACATGGGATTCACGGAGCAATCACTTGACAATTGGCGACGTGACAACCAGATTTTTTTCCCGTTAAGCTTTGTCCAGTTCTATAAATCTTTCATTTCTATCTTATTTCCACTTAAAAATTAAATATCTATATCAAGACATGTTACTTTTCTACTATAATGTCTTTTGTACTGATTCGGATTGTTCTGATTCAGATATTATTGAGATCTTTAAAAAAAAGTCTATGCAGTTAATCGAGCAGGAATGGAAACTATGAAAAACTATATAGGCACAACGTCCGTGCGATAAGGGTTATTGAAGTATCGATGGAGTTATTCATTAAAAATGTTAATCCTTCCACTCTTACGAGGGGCGTTCAATAAATAATGTCATTGGGGCTCGGAAAGAAACAAAAAACGCTTTCTATGACTTTGTCTTAATGATTCAACTAAAATATTATCTTTCAATTAAAACACATATCCGTAGCATTTTCATTCAATTTCTAATAATTATTGTTTTTCGAACACATTTTTGAGTATGACCCATCGTATACTGGAATACGACAAATCCTATGATTTGTTGTACTTGTTTTTTTCTTTCTGATAGATGTTTTTCTAAGTTTGGGAAATGAAACAAGTCAAAGATTGAAAGATCTGACAAATTTTGTTGGTGTGACAAAACATTAATTTCCTGTTTATCCCCAAAACTCCTTTACTCTTCATGGCCTGTAGGTTTGGACGCCGTCATGAAGACACTTAATGTAGTGAATTCATCATTCTGTTTCCTTTCTCTCATAAACCTTTCAATGTTTTGCAAAAATAATTGTTTTCTAGACTCCTCCATGAATTGAACTTTCTCCCAGAATATGAATTTGAGCAACAAGACTGCTAATATTTCAGAAAATAGCATATAAAACGGTTTTATTCTCATGCAATTCTTTGCTCTTCTTAGGCCTTTGTAGTTTTGTCAAGTGCATCTTATTGTAAATTTGTTTTGTGGGCTTAAAGCAAAATGGATTCAAGTTTTATTATCTGTTAGAATTTCATACAAACGTGGATAAGTAAAATTTTTGATTTTTTTTAATAATTGTCTGGATATTCCTACACCCTGTAGTTTTTACTCATTTTTCAAAATATAGGGTGACATTTGAGTATTAAACTTTTTTACTATAAAATGTTTCTTTAAAACAGCACGAACTATCCCCAAAATGATTTTTATCAATTTTGCTATGTGTCTTAAAGTCAATAAAACATAATCAGTGATAATTTGTTGAAATTTCGCAAATTTACATCGGTTGTTGTAAGTCATTGTTGCCAAGGACGGTGCCCATTTTTGATGCCCGTTATATAATTTTTGTTTATTGAAATCTACTTGTTCACCTGTCTATAAAACAGGCATTTGTTGCTGTATATTTCACATATATCAGTTAATATATTTTTTGGATATTAACAAGTTTTACAGCTGATTTCATGAAGCCTTTAATTTTAGTCTAGTTTACTGATTCTTGACCATTCATTTTTAATGCAGTGTCTCGAATAGCCCTTGTTTTCCAGCTTCCCACGATGAAATAATACGATGAAATGTGGTCACACAAACTGTTATCAATTCATTAAAGATTTAATAGTGAGAGTATGTAATATGACTACCATGTTGTATGTCATCGAGCTAATGACATTATTTATTGAACGCCCCTCGTATAAAGCTACAACCATTTGAAAACTTTGTCCTTTGTATATGTAGGAACGTACTGGCAGCATTTGAACATTTTAATCTCATTTTAGACATTATCCTGCCTGCACACATAATTTTTACGTAGTGCTATGCTCCATGACGCTTGATGACGTTCCGAATTTTGGCTGTGTTTTTACGCGTTGATCATTTATAAATGGCTATAAAACTTTCATATACCCTCCAATTTTATTCAAAATTTCTCCCAGTGACGTTTCATAAAACCTTTAGCGACAGGTAAAATATCATAAATCTCTTTTCGCTAAAATTGTGCAATTTTTAATTTCAATAAAGAGTCTATGAGATGTAAACGTGCCAAAATGTAGCATGCTCCGTGAAGCAAGTTTTATCAAAATAAAAAAGCTGTATATTTTTAAATGATCACTGGACAGCACCAAATTTTTGGATATTTATTGGAAAATAGGTTTAAGATTTTATCCGGAAAGTTTGACGGGTTTTATGGAAATAGCGCGCTCACAATAGAACTTGTTCGCGAACTTTTCTAACACCCCTCGAATTTACAAAAGGAAATATATAAAAAAAAATCTTCATTTTGGCAATGTACCTGCATCAATTTTTCCTGGGCTGGTTCGATTGGTACGTCCTCAACTACCTGAGATTGCCCCACCACTCCAGAAAATAGGTCACTTGTACTCGTGACAGTTCCATTCGGCTTTAAAACCGAGAAGTACATGTTTGTCAATAGTATCTTCAAAGTTCTTCAATTTGGTTTGAAATGCTTTTAAAACAATACTTTAAATTTCATAACAATATAGATTTTGAAGATGGTAGTTGTATGTAAATTTATTTATGTTTTCAAACTTCGATTTTCTACAAAATACTAAGCTTTTGTCGATAAAACTACATGTATACTAAAAGACACACCTATTCTAGTCGGCTTGTCACTGCTTATTTTTGTATACCATTTTTTTAGCGAATAAAATCTCAATGAAATTCGCGAATAATATAACAATATATCCATTTCAATCTGAACATTAACAAAATTAATATTATGTTTACCTCCAAGTGAGCAGACAAGTATATTGAGGCCGTTGATTGGACAAGCCTCACCACCGCCATACTGTTTCCGCCAGCCTCTGTTATTGTGTAGTTCCGGTCAAATACACCAAACAGTGAATCAAGGGACCCAGTGTCCTGAAGATCAGCTGGAACCAAGCTGGAGTCTGGCACTACCTGAATATTCATGTTTTTTATGAATATTCATTAAAATACATGACGTCTTGTATCAGTTTGAGAGTAACAAGTTCTGAATTATTTGACTGAATTTAAAGGATTGAACAATAAGAATAGAGCTATATTTTCTAGAAATTTCGAACCGTGACTTCTGTATTGGGATGATGGTAGACGGCAAAATCACCATATCTATCATAAATTCGAACTTCAATTTCTATTTTGTAGTTTAGTGTCTCACTGCCCACTGGCAAAGGCAGTTCTGTAGCCGTGCTCTCACCTGTTACATGATAAAATGCAGACGTCATTTCACAACTTTAGATTTTAATTTTATTTTCTGCGGAGATATGAAAGACTAAGGGCTATAAAGATCCATTTTGAATCAATGAAAAAAATATATGTATTTCCAAAGTTCTTTCACATTCAGATTTGATCTGACAACGAAACTATTAAATTATAAAGTTATTTAAGGTGATATCTTTTTCATAAGTTTAATCTTATTTTGTATTTTATTGCCTCCTCTTGGATTACTTTGCAAGTCATAGCAAAGTGAAATGGCTCTGCTGCTCTTTTTTTAATAAAAATTTCCAGTATGCAATTTTTTTTCTTCAAATCTATAATTACTTTATTAAAATCCGTAATCTCAATTGTAAAAAGGAGAAAAGGTTTGAAGGAATATTGTCTTCTTTGGCAGACGGTATTCAGAGTTAAGGTAGGATTCTTCTCGGGTTTCTGGCTAGATGAAATATTCAATTAGACTAGTATATTTGCATATGCTTTATATATTTAGATGTAATTAGGGATTTAAAAGACCATATTTTTCTTTCCTCGTCACAATTGTACAGTTTTAAATATAAATGGCAAACTGCTTTTGAAAACTAACAGGGACTATATTTTGGCGGAATATGGCGTATGAAAATATCTACTTTTCTGCCTCTCAAAATTATTATAGAACTATGAATTAAGTTATAATTTTTACACAATCAAAGACTTGATGAAATTTTCAAATGTAAGTTAAATTAAAAATAAGGGACTAAAGTTTTTTTCCAACTAACTAAAACTATATAAGCTTTAAAAGCTTCCAATCTAAGTGCCGATGTTAACCAAAATCTGTAGAAATTATTTTTTTTCTCTCTTAGTAAACGATCAAAACTTTTTTTTTTGTATCATTTTGTATATCTTTATTTGACAACCTTACCATGTGTGAATACCGGAAGCATATAATAATAATTATATATCCTTTAAAAAATAATAAATATATATCCTTTAAAAAATTAAAAAGTAGAGAAAATTCGGATTAGCCAATATCCATTTTAGTTAAATTATATATGTCAATTTGGTCATAAGAACTAATAGGCCATCTATGGTATAATATTCTAATGCAAAAAAAAAGAAACATTCAATCTTTTGAAATACAAGTAGGGATCACATGATCGGCAACATTATTTTTTTTTTATTCTTAATGTCCATGCAAAAGGTAAAGACCTTGACCTGATCTTGTTTCTAATATAAAACGATCAAATTTAATTTCACTGATACCATCACTTTGTGATATTGTCTTCTTGATTCTGTGAAAATTTTATTTATTTTTAAATACATGTACAAGGAATATGAGAAGAATCCTACCTTAAAGTAATTTACAGTTTTTCGAACACTTCTCTCTTTTGTAATTGGTAGAAATACATGACGTGAAAACTTTCAATTATTTCATTGGTTGAAAGGATGTACAAGGCATGGGGTATAATTTTCTGGTGATATTATTTTCGTAACTGTATATTTGATTCTAAAAAAATCAACAACACGAAAAACAAAGAAAATTGCAGTAAAGGAACACGACACTATAACATCTTTTAAAATATCAGTTTAGTATTTAAGTTTTTTTGAGACGCTACGTATTCGACAAGAATTGAATGATACTCACTTCCTCTAAACAATGGGACGGCTCCACTGTAGTATTTGCTTGATCCGTCTGTTTCCGGGATATATGCCACGTACTCGTAAACTAATGGCTCGTTTAAGGTAGGGTCGCGCGTTTCACTCCGTTCAGGATAGATGCCTTCGTCTCGCCATTCCTCACAATTGACCGAAAAGGAGCTCGTGGATGCATTGCCTGTGGTGGATCGAGAAGACGCAGTTTAACAAAAAGGATTTTATTATACTAAAGGTTCTCAAAAGACTTTGTGTTTTTCTAAATAATAAATTCAATTCATTTTGATTTATCAAAATTATCTCTTTTCAGTGAAATGAAATCGTCTAAACTTTTTTCTAATGTAAATTTCTTTTTATTGGTAACCAACTCTGAAATAATATAATTATACTTGACTGAAACTGAAAAAAAAATGAATGTCTATTTGATGCATCATGACATTTCTATCATTATTTATCTAAGGCAATAATTTGACAGGTTGTCTTTTTTCTGCAATAAAAACTTTTTTTTGATTTTGGAAAGTGCATTTAGGGTGTCAATCCAAGGCCATCATTTTAGCTCCTGCTTATACGAGTATACCAGTATTTATAGAGATATTTAGACAGTATTCAAAATAATCAAAACAATTACTATTTCTCTGTATTCACTTTTTCAAAGATGAAAGATATTTATTGATATTTTGGAGAATATTGATCAAAAAAGTTTATTTTTATCCCATTACTTATCAAATGTTTGTCTCCATTTTTTGTTTAGATAAACATAAACTACTTAAACAAAGTAAACAACACCCCATCCCTGCTTAATTCACCATAGATTCCAAATAATGCTCAAACATTAAACAAAAAGTCCATTCTTATGGAGAAGTGAATTGCAGGTTACATGAAACTGAATTAAAATTATATAGCCAAAGTTCATTTCATTTTATGCATTATTGAAACTCCATGCTTATTGATTGTCATATATACTTTTTTACTTTATGATGCCAGACTCCTACGCACTACAGACAATGAAGTACATCCGGTACTCATGGGAATCTGGGCCTAATCAATTTTGTTTAATAGCTGGTTTCATGCTTTGGATTTTTGGAAAATTTATGGGCCTAATCAATTTTGCTAAGCTTTATTTTAAATCTTTGATTTTGAAAAATTAGTAATGTACTTGGAAAGCCATCTTCAGTTTGTGTGTTTTTGTTTTTAAAATGAACTCTTTATAGGATGAGAGTATCTTCAAAAAAAAAGATGCAGTACAGAAAATTTCATTTCCTGAAGGAAAATCATATGGAAATTTCTTTAATTCATTTCTATCTTAATTAATATGAAACAAGTTTCAGTAACCAAAGGATTAAGAGTTTTTTTTTCTCCTACAAGCTAAGACCAGCTATGTGGTCCTTGAACTCCGAATAAAATAGCATGTTGTATGACTTATAGTGATAGCAATATTCTTGAAGTTTGCTTCCTGAAGTTTACTTACTGTATATTCATGAAAAAAGTCCATTGTAAATAAGTTTCATTATGTGAACAACGGGGAGTCTCCTTTAAGTCTGTTTTTTTTTCAATTCTGGTGTGGCATGAATTTCAAGAAATTAGTAGAGGGCTATGGCTGTTTATTATAAAAATCGCACATTCATCGATGAAAAATACTAGTATTTTAATATACGACCAACTCAGCACCACCTCGAAGCCTAAACTCAGAATTGTCTGATTGGAAACACCAAAAAAAAAGTTTTTAGAAAATACGTGGTCATTCTTTTTTTTAATGAATTTCGTGTTGAAATTGATAAATTTACGACAATTTCATATAGGGATTATAGGACATTTTCAAAAAGAGCGGGATTCTTTTTTCAGAAAATATAGATTATCATAAGATTTACTTTAGCTTCTGTACTAGTATATCAAAACTTTATTATCTATTCATTTGTAAAAAAAAAAAAAAAAAAAAAAAAAAAAAAAAAAAAAGAAAGAATGATTAACTGAACATTGAAGTTTGTGTTGTTGATTTGTTATTAATTTGATATAGGAACCCTTCTAAAAACGCATTTCAGTATTTATAATAGTTTTGGAAGAGTTGACAAAATACATCATATGTATCAAAGTGTTATAAGTTTTAACTGTAACCGTTTTTTAATATAAATACATTCTTAACCTGTTTTAGGCATGGAATAGCACGTCCCATTATATGGAGGATAGTTGACAGTGATGTCCCAAACAGCAAGCGTGGGGTCCTTCTCATTGGAGGTAACGTTCACACTCAGGGCATACTTTTCCCCAGGAACCAGTTGGTTCGCCTTCAAGGTGATTGATGCCTCTGTGATGGCTAAAAAGGTATATACTCAGATATGTTAATGATCATAAAAAATGTTACTTTTTAAAATACTCTTTAAGTAAAAGCTACTCCATCCGTTCAAAACATATTGGATATGGTTATCAGGATGTTATCGTTATTTTTCTGTTTCTGATGAAAGATTTTTTTTTGCAAAAGGAATGAATTTAGAAATAACGTATACACAATTTCAATAGAAAACAAGACGTTTCATCTAAGGAAGAATAAGAGTATTGAAAAAATAGCATGTAAGTGGTTAAAAATTTTTGCAGTCTCTTGAGTTGTAACAATTTTTTCCCATGGTTTTGAAAATGCATTATCCATGATATAACAATTTATTTTTTAAAAAATTGAATGGAATGGCTGGACTTGAATGCTTTGTACATTGGCATTCCTCAGTCGATGCTTAAGAAATTTTTTTTTCACTATAGTTTTTATTTAATGACAAAGATCAAATTTAGTACTGTTATAAAATTAATTGATTGACCTCTCCTGTTGACATTTTAAAATCGAAATATATATTGATTATTTTGAGGCTTTCGAAAAGAAAAGGACTTTTATTTTTATCAATGTCACAGTACTAATTAAAGAATGCAATTATGATTTTCAGTTAACGAAATCAATGAAGAAAATCAATACAGGCTTACGTGTGCTTGTCATATTTATCAACGACGGTATATCCTCGTATGTCCTGTTTAGGTAGTGTTGGAGACGCCATTCATATTTCAGTAAGGTTTCTGGTCCACAATCGTTGCAGACGGCAGTAACACTTAATGGCGATGTCACGGCATGTTTCTCCAGACAATTTATCGAACACCTAGTGAAATTATTATAATTTTCAGAAATCATTAGTAAAATGGGTTGGAATTTATATCTAATTAAATAACTAAAAAAGGGGGGTTTTAAATTTGAAAAATGGGGGATATGAAACATATGGAGATAACGAACAGTATTCAAGATCAAAAATCCATAACACAATGTAAAATAGGGGCAAAGCAAACAGTTTTAGATCTCAAAAAAAGTCTATGAACAATTTTATCTGTGAAGAGAGCATATACGTGGACCCCTGGAAGAGGTAGGATCAGTTGCCTTGGAGGAGTGAGCGTCCCCTGTCGAACGACCGTTCACAACCGCTGTCGTATACTTACACAACGCTGATATCATGAGGAAGAGTGGAGACGACCTGTACAAGTTGTGTAAAATAAGATGTCAGTTCGTCCTTTGCTACCGCTACCGTGATGATATAACCGACATTTGGAACTGTAAGGGGAATCGTTTGTTTTCCGGCACCAAACACACCTTAAAAGAAAGATCAAAAGTAAAATACCCATTCCACTGTCATAGCACTACATGATTCGTATCTACATTAACACTACAACATAATATACAAACTGTAGCAAATTATAAGTTTGGAGTGCGCATGCGTATTGGCATGTGTTTTATTTCTTGGACTGTTACTGTAAAAGCTTAGCATGGAAAAATGAATACAGACATCTTAAAACTGACCTTCAAAGAGGGTAGCTATGACAGTTACTTCACTTCATTCTGAAAGTTTAGAAATGTCCCGAACTAAAAAAAAATGTTAGATCTACTTTTCCATTCAATATATAGGACCCATCTTGGTGATTCTTTAACCTCCGAACTGTTCGAAAACCTTAAGTTTGATCGTTAGACTGTAAGGTTTAGGCCAGGAACTACTTAGTACATAGCTGTCTAATTCAGAAAGAAACGAAAAGATTCAGAGCGCACTTTAAGCTTGAAATCAACCCACCGAAGGAACTAATCTGATAATTTGTAGGTCGTGAATTTAACTATGGATTTCACTTAACAAAAGTTTTGATTATATGCAAGAACGTTTTTCTTATTTGAAGTTTATTGTAGATAAATAAGTGAGAAGGAGAGACACTTTCTGTAAAGACGTGATACATGCAAGAAAATCATAATTTAGTCCAATTTCACAATGTTGAGAAGATGCTGTAGACATGGTTATGAAATATTAAATCTGGTATTCATTGTTTTTTCTTTTAACGAGGCTGGGGGGTGGCAGCCATTTTCAGACTATTTCGATCTCCTTTAAATGAAGAGCTCCATATAAAGATATACAAAAATGATCAAATTTTAAAACTAAAATGTATGAATTTTTTCTTTGCCAAATGATAGCTGACAGCTTAAGATACCACATCTTAAAATATAAGTTAAATCTTATGGTTAATTTGTGATTAATTTGTTGACCCCCCAGCCTCCTTAAATGTATATTTTTTTTTTACTCTGAATGGCATTTTAACACATTTATGCCTATGAAATGTTCCATTTATGTTTTGTTAAAATTAACGATCTAACAACAAGCTATTGTATTCTACTTCCTTTTTTTAATTTGCATAAAATCTGATTTACGAAATATTGGAAGCTTCTTGTCTGTGCGAGTATATTTTAGATTTTATTTAAAACATTCAAACCAGTCTCCGATTTGGCCGTATCATGAACAGAAAATCCGTCATGGCTTGAATTTTCGTTATATCCCTAAGATTTTGCACTATAAATAGGTATAAATTCTTATACCTCCAGTGTCTGATGTGTTTACAACTTAAGTGTTTCGTTTGAAATTCAAATCAATTTCTGTTTTGGCCTTATCCAAAATAAAAAAAAATATCTAATTTTGCTTGAGCCTTCGTCATAGCATATACATTGTGTACCAGAATTGTTTTAAATGCTTTTACCTCCTGTTTCTGACGTGTTTCCAGCTGAAGTGATATTTGACGAGTTTGAAACACTGTGATATATTTCCGAAAACAAACTTCTGCAATCACTATCAAGGCCTGGACCATATGTCATGTAATAGTTTCGGCCTCCGTTGCTGAGATATAATTCGTCCAAGTGCACGATATTCGGCGACGGAACTCTGAAAAGAAATTGTTGAGGGATTACTGTTTCTCTGGATACATCAGACATACTGGATGCACCCAAATGGAATACTACAAGTAGATATGCTTTTATTTTAGAATTGTTTTTGGTTTGGCTTGATTTTACATTGTAGAACGTTGTTTTACTTGGCATAACAGTCAACAATAGAATAACACTTAAAAATGTTTGTTTAACGTGCCTTTGGAAAATTTATTTTTCACTCATATTGGGACACAACTACTCGCTAGTATATACTCGCCCATAAGTCGACCCGCCTTTAAGTCGGTTGTATTCAATAAGCTAATATATCAAAAGATCCATGAAAAAGAGACAAAAATGTCTTTAGAATTAAATAAGAAAAGGCCCAGAGCGGGTTTTGACCGGTAAACAGGGAATGCTTATCCTCCTAGACACCCGATTCCCTTCAGACATTTATTGGAGTCCGTGTTTTAAGCCTTGTAGTTAAGTCACCCTATTGATCAATCACCGTTCGTTATTTGAACTTTTTATAATGACGGTTTTATAACATGGTATCTGATGCCAAATTCAATTTACAATGAAAATCATTTATTTGACACTAAAAAATCCAGAACAGTTAATAATAGTTTGACAAAGTCAGCTTGAACAAATCCTCGGAAAACTGCTGCTTGATACGTGCCTCATCAACAGACTCCAAAAGAACATGCACCTTCAAATTGTCGAGAATTACAGAGATACAAGTATCTTTACCAATAAAATGACCAGCAAATGATTGCTTTGTGTTTAAAAAGAATCAAGAAAAGATAATCCGGACTTCTATAAAGGTTGTTCAAATGTCAGACTCCGTAATTTTCATTATGTTACACGACTCACAATGCTGCATACAAACATAGGGAATACAAAGAAATTTCTTTCAAGAAAAAAGGTCAAATAAAGTCCTTGCAATATATTGTTACAAGAATATAATGAAATAAAAATGACTTACGTGTTGCAATACCAAGTAAAAGTGAGTTCGGAGTTAAAACCGTATCCCTCCTGAACGTCGTACGATTCCGTCAGAGCATCCAGTTCTATCTCTCCTGACGTCACTGATGCGATGTATTTAGACCCTCGTACGATATGTGCATACGGTTTTGGTTTTTCAAACTTCACAAAAGTGTATTCTTGCATCCAGGTTCCATCTAAAGTAACATTCAGGCTAACTTTATACAGGCCAGCAGGCACGGTGCCTTTCGCAAATCGGATGGATCCTGTTGGTTTGACTACCGGAGTGTATTCATACACATCTTCATCCTGGCCTGTTACGTTATAAAACGTCCATCGGTAGTCCGGTCCTCTTTCCGGACAGTACACTAACATGCGGCTAGCAAGATCGATGTCTTTCGAGGTCAAAACAATCATTGGAGTCGTTCGATTGGAATACTGTCGATCAAATATCCCATTGATGGAGAAACATTCGTTTTGAACAAGAATGATTGTAGAATTCACATAAGTATGGGCAAAGTTCTTACAATGAAGATTAAATAGATGAAATCCAAGAGTGAGGTATTGATAGTTATAAATGATTGGATTGCCATCTGTGAGATTTTTTGTCCTTGAATGGATAGCTTTATCAATTCGATCACCGGAAGTAAATTCACATCTTATGTCTAATACCGGATCAGCACCGTTTGGGACTCCAAAAATAAAAACCGCGTGTCCAGGTGGTAGTTCCAGCTCTGAAGGAACAGTCATATTTATCCCCTCAAAAACGTAGTCAATTCCTACATGATATGGCAAATAAAGTATCTCAGTTAGCGTTCCATTGCTTGCGATGACTTTCGGCAAATATTGTCCGCGATGTGGGTAGATTATAGAAGTAGATACGGGATTCCCTAAAGTTCCTGTTAATATACGTTGTGCTATAATCAAATCAACTTCGTAGACAGCTGTTCCCAATAAATCTTTTGTGGTGAAAGTTATCGTGTCTTTTGATGGACTACCTTCGTAAACATTTGCTGAAAAATTTGCTACACCCATTTTAATGGAAAATGGAATTGTTGCTTTTTCAGAACCGTATTCTACTGTGAGAGATCCTTCATAGAACCCTCTGTCTTTATATTCGTGTGGACAATCAAATCTTGGACTATCAAGTTCAAGTAAGGAATTTTCATCAATTTCATCACCAAACTTCCATATAAATCTTACTCTTGGTGGAACATAATTCATTTGGTACAACTGAGCACGAAATGTCACGACCACTGGAATGCTTCCAATTTCCCCAAACGGCAGCAATTCTGTAGCATTACCTCTGAGAGTCATATTCATACCAACCTCTGGCGGATGATTAACAACTACGTCATTAATATCGAAATCTCTAATGGTGACTGTAGCTTCACTTCTCCATGAGCTTACTAGATTCCAACATTCAAAAATCACCGTTTTTGTCTTGGGAGTAAAAACGAAAAAAAAGAAACCATTGAACGTGTACGTATATGTTTTTGTCACAGTTTTGTTATAATCAAAGGTAGTTGGCTCTTCAAATACTTTATCTTCGAAATCAAATCTACATGTGACATTCGTTGGCGATGGTTTATTTACTGTCATTGTAATATAGAAAATAGCTAGACCGTCGTCCCTCGGGAAATCTCCCCCAGTCGGGTTCATTTCCAAAGTTGGAATTGGGTGTTGAGCGGTGATGTTGTATGTCTGGACGACGGCATGGAAAGGGTTCCAAGCAGTCATTATCACGGTGTAAACTGCCGGAGACGTGTAACCAAACGTCCATGGAGCAACATTATAGTCACTGTAGTAAATCGTGTCATTAGTGTTTGTCTCGTTTCCATCCCCATAGGAAATTGTATATCTGAATCCGGCGTTTGGTGGATCCAAGAACGTGAAGACAGTAGGTTCCCCAATGGTTTGCAATGATGAAGAATTTAGTGTCATATTTAGCTCGTCCCATGCATAAAATGTGAAGTTAAATTCCTCAAAGCCAACGTTATTTCTCACTTTTGCTGAAAGAGTATAATTGCCTTGAATAAGGTATTGACAAAGAAATGTCTTTCCACTCGTACTTTTATTAAAGCCTGTTATATCTTGGAAATATGGGTTCAGATATATTGTATCATTCTGCCCGTTCCCATATAGGACTTCTAAATACAAGTTTCCCATGGATATGACCTCGTCGATGGTAAGATTGTTTGATACAGTCATATTAAACTGTTCCCTCGTCTGATACAACCCTGGTGTGGTCTCAACTTGAAAGTTAGAGGGACGCCGAATCCCCATGACATTTATAGTTTTGTATTTCGCTGTCACACCATTTCTTGCAAAAACTGTGATATTGTACATGCGCATTTCGGTAAATTCAAATGTTTTCACGACATTCCTAACTTCCCCGTTATGAATTTCTATGCATGTTGTAATATTATGGTCGATCATCCATTCCATTTCAACATTTGTTCCAGAAGTAAGGGACACGAAAAATTCAGCTAATTCGCCTAAAGGTATGTATGACCCATAGGCAGTCTTTACCTGAATGATGATAGTGAAAATTAACTTTATGGAAAAAAAATTGTTGAATGTTGAAGCATTCCAAAGACATAAAAATAAAATTGGATAAAAATTAGGTACCGGTAAAATACGAATTAAAAATATTAGACTAATCTATAACTTACATCCAATCCTGCTATCATTTCTTCATGATAGACAATCAAGTCTTTATTTCGTCCAGTTCCTTTACATGGCTGAACTTCCGTTCGAAGCAGGTATGTACCGAGAGATGGAAACTTGGAGGAATCAAGTGTGACTTTTGCCTCTGTGGTGGTGGTCATGGACGAGGTCACCGTACTGTTGGTATCGAGGTAAGAAACGATGGAGAGGTCGGTACCCGAACTTTGAACTATGAAGCTGACCTCTTGTATGGAGTTGCGAGATAAATAGACAAAATTTTCAGAAAGCGATGATGGCTCCAAGTACGTAACAATACCGGTTTGTATGCTGCCATCTGATTATTTTTAAAAGGGAAAAAATTAATCTGACTCAATCTGGGATATTAGATTATCAGTGTTTTATTTTTAAGCAATATTGCCGTAATATAAAACAGAAGTGACCGAAATATTTGTTTCTCCAACTTTTTTTGAATAAGCGACTGTTCTTACCTCATTTATAATACATGTGTTATATATGATTAGACATAAATGTGAATTGTATATTGTTTTTGTACATTTCATGTCCTAGCATATATTGATTTAAATTTTTTATCTCCAAATATTTTAAGAATTCGTTTCAAACCTGCTATGCAGTCACACCCTTGAAGATCAACTTTAACTGTGCATTCCCCCACACATCCAGTTGGAACGATCCGGAAGTAAGAACCATACAAAGTAGGTGTTAGAGTGAAGGCACTGGCTGTCGAACTCTATCAAAAGAGGTCTTAAACTGAGTCCAGCTTGCATGGTCAATTATACATTATATAAAGAATTATTATTCTTGGAGAATATTCGATTTGTTGATCGTCACGTGGTCAAGAAATACAAAAAGTTGAAACATACGCGTGCATAACGATTTATGCAATATCGCTCGCTAAAATACAAAGGTGATTCAAGGGCTAGAAAACTAGAAATAAAAAAGATTCAAAAATGTATACAGGATATCTCTATGCAGTATAAACTAGGACGTCGATATCTGATACTGATATCTCGACACCTCGGATATCTCGACATTTTCCGACAGTTCCGCCAATGTTGAGATAACAAAGTTTACCAGTATAAAGAATTTCAATAGATTAAAATGAATTATTGTTTTAAGATACTTACCTGTTTATCCCAAATAACTCCGTCAAAGCTGGACAACACGTCATAGGAATTTGTACTTCCGTTGAGTGTCAGTGAAACAAATTTATGAGAGGTTGAAAATGTTGCCTGAAAAGAATGAAGGTCCTTAATTATTACCTTTATCTACATTTACCATTTAAGATTTCACCGTAATTTTTCATTTTATATCATCTCAATGCATCGATCGGGTATTTCAAATACCCATATTTAACAGCAATTTTCTTGTCACTCTGGGATTCTGGGATTCTTCTACATTTTGAAGGTTTTCAGCTTCGATATTTTGTTTCTTATTTTGTAAGCCTAAATAAGAATTTATTTTGTCTGCCTATTTTTCAGTGTCATTACATTGTCCCTTTTAGTTTCTTTTAAAGTAATTTAAATTATTAACTTTGAAGGAAAATCGAATTAAAAAGATAGACGTGCATATCTTAATATCAGTATATATAAAATCATGAGAAACATGCTTTATTCCGTTTTTTCAGAAATTAAATTTGACGTTTGATAATTTTCCATATATACTATAATTAATTATACATCAATTAACTTTGAAGGAATGCAGTTGGTACATGTAAATACACTCTTTCAAATACTTAATTAAATTCCATTTCTCAGAAATGGAATTCGGGCTAACTTTACTTGTACGAGACATCAAAAATCATACTTAAGTATTCTTTACAGAACGTCAGTCAGAAAACGAATGATTGGTTAAATTAAAAAAAAAATATGTTAAGCCCTGTTCAAGTTTTTTAACTTCCGTAATAGTACCTTCAACCAGTGCATGTGTTGATATTCTTTTAAAATACAATATCAGAATTGGGAATAGTTTTTTAAGTGCACTGACATTTCCATTAGTGCATTGTGTTGCAAAACTGTCTATTTTTGAAACATATTTGTTTAGTTATATTACCCGAATCGGTTCCCTATGAAGAAGAATTGCAAAACGGATCGATAATAAATAATTTATTTCATTAAAAAATTTAATATATTTCTTTCCTTGTTAGGATGAATGGTTGCAATAATTACTGAAATTTTACCTGACATGCCCACGTGAGTTAATTTTTTTTAGCACGAGTATTTATTTTAATTTCTCTATGTCGCAACCTTTTATTCCAGATATCCCTTTTATTATTTTACTACACTCTCATCAAGCTTGAATTTAAAAGGGACAGAATGAATTTTCAACAATTGGTAAAATGGTATTTTTCTTTAAAAGTATTCATAAAGAAATTTGCTTCGATTTGCTGACGAATTATGCATCTTTTTTATCAAGCATGCCAAAAATTAATTAATTATATCTGTGTCATAGAATTTTTGGTTTTGTATATTTTTTGTTGATTCAAATTATGTCTTCATACTTGTATTTTCTTTACTGAGACAAAATAATGACTTGCCTGTACGTATGGGTTGCTGTCATTAGCAGATGGAGTCCAATATCCAGGCTTACTAGATTTTATGTTAGCAGCACTTGTCTTTTCTGTGGAGGCGCTGAATGCCGAGTCCGTTAGGCTGTTTAGAATGTCCACATTGCATGCATTTGAAGTCCAAATGAATGTTAACCCTTTGTAAGAAAATGTAAAAATGAATGAAACTTATTAGTCATATTTAAGGCATAATTAATTAATATATATACTTTTTTAAAATAATTATGTTATTTTTGTCTTTCTAAAAACGTCGGGGGTAAACCATTGCCAAATCTCTTTGAAATACAGCAACTTCTCATTGAATCAATTTTCCTGTGCACGATAGTCCAATAAAATATTGTTTAAGGACTCTATTTTGTATTTGATTGAATTGTTGTTTGATGTAACAGTGAAATAAAACTTCCCAATTAAACAAAGAATTTGTGTATACAGCGTATTAAATTTGTATGATATCCAAAAAAAAAAAATTCTTAAAACATACATGTGTATAATAAATATTAAAAAAAAAAAAACATTGAAAAACCAGTTTTTGATCTAAATTAAAATTTTCAATCTTTATGATAATTATCGTTTTAAAAGTAGGACAGAAACATAAAATGAAAAAAAGTAATTTGACTTACAAAAATGTAGAAATATAAAGTTCCAGGGAGAACTAGTCATCTTTGTGTTTCACTGTCGTCTATTCTTCCTCATCTTTCCCGAGTTTAAATTAGGGACGCGATAATAAGTTTAAAAATCAAATATCAATTCTGGTCGATACCTTATTTTACTCTAAAATGTACCATGAGGGATGGCAAATAACCTACAAAACGTTTTTGTTTACAAAATTGAAATTTTAACAATGAAAATCGAAGTTCTTCCATCACGATGAAATATTGTTAATTCCGTTCTCGGTACAGGGCTAGATGAAAGAAATTTTCAAAACAAAATATTCTATTTCGTGAGACATCGAGTTTTTCAAAGTAATTGTCTTAGGAATTATTTAGCATGTAAATAATTTTATCTTTATAGATCGAAAAGGCTTTGAAATATTATGTTTCTTCTTTTTTATAATTTTTACTTAACATTGACTGATTGAACATGATTTAAGCAAGCGCGTCAATTAAAATCGAAATTTTTTAATAACATAATGACCTTGTCTAGTTTCATAAGTGTGTGAAAAGCATTTTTAAATATTCAGAGTTTTATCAATCTAACTCTAATGAAAATTACTTTGATGAAAAAATGAATCCATACCAAAGAGAATTCTGCAATTTCATCAACATCTAGATTTAAAAAGAAAACTTTTACCATATATCATTTGGTAAAATGTGAGAATATCGTTTAATCCTTCTATTTTAAACGTTTTTTTTTTATTTGGAAAGGCCTATTTCCGTGGTCCGAAATATTTTTTTTTCAAATTTCAGGTAAATTGATTATCAAGATCATTAAAAATGTAATACTCCAAATAAAAGGGTTGAGTTATGATCAGCATTTAGTTGTAGTGCTTTTGTTGTTTTCGTCTTCTTCATGGCTTTCTAGCCTATTCCTTGCATCTAAATATACATAAAGTATTGATATGCACGTTTCATTTCCCGCTGACCATTTTTATTTGAAAAATTACTATCAGTATGCTCCACTTCCCTCTACACAAACTCGCCCTTGCCTCATTGATTTGAAAGAACACTTGTCAAGTTTATTAATGTCAAAGCCAAAATATTTATATAAATCAACATTTTAATTTGATGTGTAGACAAGATTTCTCACCTACTTTCTGCATACTAAAAAGAATTTTGGCCTATGGGTTAAGGTTCTCAAGATCTGTAGATATCTAAAGTCCAAAAAAGTTAAGAAACAAACAACTTGTTGACCATACGGATGTACTTGCTAAACCAACGATTAAAAGAACTAAACAAGGCTTACCACCCTATTGCTTGTTTCACGTGTGTTTCTTTATTTCTTTTCAATTACATTATTAACCTGAATGTTTAAAAGGTATATAAAAGTTTGAATGGAACATCCATAATAATTAGAAGATCTTATTAAAGGCTGCATTCTGATAGCAACCATAAATGGATGCTGTATAATATAGACCAATATGGCGTGCGGTTTATGAGGACTGATAACTGTATCAATTGCAATCCTATGAAATACAAAAATATCGCTTCATTGTCCCATTTCTTCTGAATTTCTTATCACGATTCACTCACTTTGATTACAATGCGAAGTCCTGATAAGGTTGCAATACTATGGCAGACGATAAAGTGACGTATGATGTCCCGACTAAATCTTCTCGTCAAAAGTCTTTGTTTTTATCGTCTGTGATTCTGGTGTTCGTTTTCGTCAATACTGTAGTTTTCCTGGCTCTGACAATTCATCAACTCAGGAACATTGGCGAAATAGAGCGAAAGCTATTGGTAAAGCGTCAAAATGTCGAGACCTTGGGAGCTTCGTGTCAGAACAATGAATATTCAAAGGTATGATTCACTTTCAGTGGATTTCATCTTAAAGAAAGAGTACCTTATTTTGATTCTAAGAATTTGAAGCAATAATGATTATCTTTATACAATTTTTACATGTATAAGTTTTGGGGAATCAAGACTTTCGTTGAACAATAAATTTTTCTTGTTAAAATTCAAGTGCTGAAGAAAAAAGACATTTTGAGTAAAATGTTGTTTTTTATTGTAGGAGAAACTTCTTCAGATAACTGACTTATTGCTGAATATTGATCAGAAGTATTCGGGATTAGGTGAAAGGCTTCGGAAACGCCAAACAGCGTCCTTAGCAACACTTTTTCAAGACCTTGTACATGCACAGGTACCAACAGATTTTAAACACTTTAATTACGTAAAACTGTTACATTAACATGTTGTTAGGATAATAAATTATTAATGTTATAAACTAATTGTCATCATAATTGTTCTATGTGTATATTGATTTTTTTTTTAAATCAAACGGAGAAACCTTAAATAAAAGTGATTTTTATATGCCTATTTTAAAAAAAAATTGTTATACACAGAAGTTTTTTTTAATTTTAATTTGAAATTTTAAAAATGTTAATATTTTACTTTAAGCTGACAATTTCTTCTCAAGTTTTTGAATTTAATTCTTTTTCTCCTGAAAAAAAAACCAGACACACACATCAAACAATGAACACATGGAAATTTTTAAATCAATATCTTAAACTATTAGAACATAGAATTGCACTTATGAAGGGATTCAAGCAGTGTAAATAATATACCATTATTAATGCTGTGTACATTTTAAATATAGGCTATGGCCTTTATTTAACATTTTATCTAAAAATGTCAATACGCTATTTCGAAACTATAGGTAAATCAGTTATAAGATTAAATGACACCATGCGTAAAATATAATTGTTTTTGAGGTAAATAAAATGATGTACCATAAACAGTAGAGTGAAATGCAATATTCGATGTAAGGAAGAGATGAATATTTTACATGTACTTTGAAGGTTGTTAAAATCGAATTGACTTGACATGGTTTTATGAATATATTAAGTAACCCATTTCACAGACTATGATGAGTATCTTGGTTATAAAAGGTTACTATGAATATTCAATCAGATAAGCAGAAGATGAAAACCAAAAACTATGTTCTGTAAGAGAAAAAAACTACTGGACTGAGATAGGTTCTTTTTTTTCTCACAGAAAGTTGGTTTTTATTTGACTAAAAGCATGAAATATTTTATACTTTAAGTTTCTTATGTGACATAATAAGAGTGAGAATTCTTCTAACTCTAATTTCAATCTAACACGTGATACAGCCAAGATGTTGAAAGCAAGGCGCGAGATCTGCCAAACCTTCGAATCAAGCAGGTCTGGAAAATAACAAAAAAGGAATGATTTATCTAAAATACAGAAGCAAACGGTAAACTGGACTTTTAAACTTTCCGTAATTTGGCAGTAGCATAAACAGAGGAGACAATCACATACTTTCGTTTCAAGAAATTTTGAACATGAATTGTTTGATACTGAAATTCACAGAAGCTTGAGTTTTGTGGCTTAACTGAGCAGTAGGTTTGCAGTGGAAAAAATGCCAAATACTTTATTTGAAATCTTTTATCATATGAGCCAAGAAAGGCTTTTTTATTCGTTTTTTGAGGACAAAATCTTTCATGGAATAAGAACTATGTTTGACTCTAAAACAAAAGTTTAAACCAGTCCTCTAGGTTTAGACATTGAAGAAGACAGAAGTTATAGCAGCAGATAAGGAAAAGACAAATTGTTTAAAGGAAACTTAGGAAAAGAATTTTCGCAAATACGTTGGATACATTTCTTTTTCCAGTAAAGTTATATTTTGCTCTCTGAGCTGGCCAAGAACATATGGAATCTACGAGTAAGTGAAAACAGGAAACAGTTTTTCGAAGCCGAATGGAACAAAGTACATATACATGTAGCATAAAATAATTTTTTTTTAAAGAAAAATAGAAACTTCAACAAAAATACCTAATTACAAAAAGACAACAATAAAATGACAAATGACGAGCCCACCAGAACAAGATGTATTTAAATATGTTCAGTATTAACGTTTGAAATGAAATACAAGAAACGTATGAAAGTAAACAACAATAATCCAGCTCATGAGTCTTTCGAAGCAATATAAACTTGGAGCAGAGTACACATTAGCCTCTAAAACATCAGACATAGGATCTGGTTTCTATGCGGATTAAACTTGCCCTGTCGATCCGTCACATTGGCCGTGTGTTCCTTGTCATGATCAGATGCAAGGAAAGATTTTGCATTCTAATCTTCTTGCAGTATGGCAGACGAAAGGTCATACGTGTATAATGCTTGAGAAGATATAAGCAATCAACTACTGATAAATGGACATAAAAAGATAATCAGCTATCCAAACATCCAACAGTACCCAAGGCACTTGATTTGTGAAAATCAGTGCAATCTTCAATGTATGTGGGGAAAATTAGTAAAAATCAGGAGATGCCAAAAAGAAAACATAAGAAATGTGAGTCCTGTGAAGAAAATGTTGCTAAATGCGCCCCTGGATCAATGAAATCTACATAGAACATTGCAACTTGAAATTCAATTTCTAATGTGATATCCAGCATATGTATTTACAACCATTGATAAGTGGGAATCATTTGGGATTGGATGTGATTTTAGCGTGTCGTCGTAGTTTTATCTGTGACATTCGCATAATTAAGAATTCATAGACTCATTCATTATGTTTCTTTCTTCAGTGTATCTGACACTATTCAATAAAACGAAAATAACTGTCCAAAATATGTTAAATAATAGATAAGTTTTAAAAAAAACTTTGGACGTGCAATGGTTACATATAAGATTGTTTTCAAATTTTACGTTATTGATATTTTGCTATAAAACAACCAAAAATAACAAAAGTTACATAACAAAAGGTGTTTTAATAAATGAGTTAATTCAAGCATGCAGTAAATTGCTAACAATAATGAAAATTAATTTCCGTCATACATGTATGTTATATTTTTATTTTCAGGAGCAGCTTTTGTTGGAACGTTGTACTCCTGATACAATTATTTGTATTAAAGGTACATTTGCAATATTTTACAGGAGTCCGGATATATAGTTAATTTCTGAATTTAAAGTATATAATAAATATGTACATGTTACATGTGTACAAAAGCTTAATACATTAACATTAAAATAGAATATCTACAAAAATGCGTACTAGCTGAAACTGTACAATTATTTGATTACTAACTATGTACAATGGTCTGATAAGTTTGCAATCATAAGTTTTTCACACTGCGAATAAAATCTGATTTTTTTTCTTTTAAATCTACATTCAGTTTATCGGCGCAGAAGAATAAATATCTGTGCTTTTACATCTCACTTACTTCTAATTAACATACCACCTGTATAACATCCAGAATAAAACTACATGTATTTTAAAGACAAAATAAAAAACAATACAAAACAATATATAAGCTTATCGGTAACTTGTTTTGATTTCCTAATTCTTTAGGACTGAAAGGAGACCATGGTATTCCTGGAGAAAAAGGTAAGACTTTTTTTTAAACAAAAAATATGGTATGATTTGAAAATAAAAATACGTCTTGCAGCAATTTTTCCCCTGTTGAGATAAATAATAAAAATTTAAAATGTACGCCAACAATTTATAATTGATTTTCTTTCAAGGCGACAAGGGCCAGACCGGAAATAAAGGAATGCCAGGAAATAAGGGCTTTGATGGCACAAAAGGAATGCCGGGAGAAAAAGGCGAAAAAGGCATTATGGGAGATACAGGAGATTTGGGACCAAGAAATGTGAATGGGTCAAAAGGAGACAGGGGAATCTCTGGTGATAAAGGAGATGTAGGGATAGTGGGTGCGAAAGGTGAACCGGGAGTAAATGGTGTTAAAGGGGCACCAGGCGATAAAGGCCAGACGGGCCCCATAGGGAAGCCTGGATTGAATGGACCCAAAGGTACTAAAGGGGAACCTGGTAACATAGGTAAGACCATTAATATCAACGGGCTTGTAAAAATTGCAGAACAGTTTTGTATCTATGTCAGTGGTTTAAATTAGCCTTGTATTCACCATTTGATTGCCATTATGGTAATTGGTTTTGTGAGTGTGATTAATTAAAGATCTGCTGAAAATTTTGCAAATTATTTTTATGTTTTCAATTTTATTGAAAAAATTCTAATTGGTCTTTGTTTAACTCATCAACACGGAACTTTAAATCATATAATTTTTTGAGATTGATTTCATTTTGAAACAAAATGGAATAATCAAATTTCAGAGAAAGATAAAACAATCATTTAGGGCGAAATGTTCAGTACGTTCAAACGATTTTGTAATTAAATATTTACAATCAAGGTGAGAAGGGTGTTAAAGGAGCCATAGGTGACACTGGACCGAGTGGAACTTCTGGAAGTAGAACAAACTGTGACTGCATGGGTAATTAAATAGTAAATGTAAAGATATTCAAACCTTTTTACTTATATACTTTAAAATTTAAAGAGATGCGAAAATTAGATTCAATGGAATATTGATCAAGATAAAACAGTATTCAAGTTGAAAAGTCTTTTTAAACAATAGAAATCTATAGTAGAACTAACACAGGCATTTAATTAAAACATCAGAGGTAGGATCGCGTGCCACGGAGGAGAAAACATCTATATAATAATTATATGCTCATTTCTATCTAGATAAACCAAAATTTTATGAAAGCAGTAAAACAATGGCGGTACACTACGGCGATAATGTGACGCTAGACTGCTTTACATCAACAAAACCGGAAGCCACAATTACGTGGACCAAGACTGATAGCAATGGCTGCTTCGCCAATTTTTCCAAGACATCTAGCGATAAGATAGAACTGGAGAGGATACAACCTGTAGATATCGGAACCTATCAATGTTCAGCAGAAAACGTCTTGGGAACAGCAGTTAAAACTATCACACTCACAACTACAGGTTTTCCCTTTTAATAAATGTACAAGTAAATCACTAAAATCAGTTAACTATAGTAAATTTAATATTTATCATATTCTAATCATAAAAATATGTTGATATACATGCAAGATCATGTACTTGATTAAGAAAAGTTTACAATTTTCATTGTAAAATTTTCCGTTATGATTTACACATAGACAATCCTGACGTCATTTCCTGTGACTTTGAATCCGGTCTTTGTGGCTGGCATCAAAGTAAATCAGATGACGTAGATTTCTCCAGAAACACGGGCTACCTCAGGACGCCAACAACAGACCATACCCCTGGAAAAGGTTAAAAAGATAAAGTTGCATAGTTTTTAATTTAAATGTGAAATTCTAATAGCAACACCACAGTCTACAACGATTCATGCATATAAATGTACATGTATAAACATATCTACTTACGTACTTTAAAGGAATTTTAAATAGGTAATGAAATTGCTTTTGAAGTGTTGGTTTGTTTTTGGAAGGAGGAAAGGGTTATTATGTTAACATAGACAGTGCTTCAATGACAACTGGTCAAACTGGTCAAGTAGAATCGTTCTTCGTCCCGGCCCACCAGAAACATTGCCTGATCTTCTGGTATTTTATTGACGGGGCATCAGGAGCTACTCTTCATGTTAAAACTAAAGTGGGTTTTATGTTCTCTAAAAATAGAGAATTTTAGTAGTTATAATTTTAGTTTTTGTCTATAAGTTGGAATGAATGATGTTATGATTATTTGTGTTAACAAATATATGTACAAGTATCTCGTATTTCATTGCTTTTAGTGAAAAATATTAATCTTGCATAATTTACACTTAAATATGCACTAAATGACTGTCAATGTATGTATATCACTCTTTATTAAATAAAAAGTTATTTAGCATATTTTACATGTACCAAAAAAAGAATGTTTCTTACTGTTTGAAATTGAATGTTTTACTAAGCAATATTTTGCCCTACCTGAGTGGTTCTCTTTTATAAAATTTCATTATTAACCTGAAATCAAGAGAATATGACCAATTAATTTAAATATTTTGTTTAAAGGCTTGTAGCATGGATGAGGCTACTCTTCTGAAGTTAACAAGTTCAAGGATGGGTTGGATGCAGGCGAAAGTCGACATTCCTGTCGATATTCATGGGCGACAAATTATTTTTGAAGCAAAACGAGGCAATTCCGCCTCTGACGTCGCCATTGATGACGTCACTTTGTCCAATAACGAATGTCCTCCTGGTAGATGGAATTTATTCATATAATTAAAAATTCAGTAAAATGTACATTTACTATTATTTTAAAGGTACAAATAATTATTGCGTATCCAGGTATTTAGTTAGTTAATTGATAGAAAATATCATTTATCATAAAAAAAACATGCCTTATTAAAATAAAAGGTTATGCCCAAATAGATTAATTAATTTTCAAAATTATTTTTAGCTGACAAAAAACCAGAAGTATTGAACAAAAATACAACAATTCGGAGTTTTCCGGGAGATAGAGCAGAGTTACATTGCAATGTTACTGGTCAACCTCAACCTAACATCACATGGATCAAAGAAAGTGCATGTAGCAAATTCGAGAGAAATGTACAAACTCTGATCTTACCAAATGTAACACAAGCTCAGTCTGGGACCTACAAATGTATTGCCACTAACAGTATGGGGCGAGATGAAGGTCAAGTGAAACTAGTAGTCAACGGTGAATACAATTTTCTTACTTATCACGTCTGAAACTACATGTAGTCAAATCCAGTTATCGTGTATTCTTAAATCTTGCCTAATATGATGTACAATCTAATCAGTTCCTTTCAGTAACTTCAGTTTTTTTGGAAAATTTGTATAATGTAGAATGTAGTTTAATCCATTAAAATAATATTTGACAAGTTTTGTTTTAATATGAAGCAGAAACATGAAAAACTAATACTTACAAGGTTTGTCTTTTAGAAACACAGACTTGCACATTTGACACTACAACGGAATCATGTGATTGGAAGAATATAGCATCCGGAGACGACAGGGATTGGATGAGACAAAGCGGAAGTACACCTTCCAGTACTACAGGGCCTTCAACTGATCATACTCTGGGGACCAGTACGTAAGCATTTTCAAAAGAATTTGTTTGTTTTTTTTTTGAGGGGGGGGGGGCAAAAGATGAAATCGTTCAAAATAGAGCTTGGGAATACAGCTGTCTTTTTCTCTGCTTGCATTCATTATCATTTGTCACCAAAACGGAAGTTAACCCTCTAGGTCTACAGGGCTTTCTACTGATCATACGTTGGGAACCAGTACGTAAGCATATCCGAAAATATTTGGAATCCTGTATGTTAAATCTTTCTTCTCTTATGTTTGAAAATTATTCTTCTTTAAAAAAAATAATGATACATTTACTTTGGACTTTAACATTTTTAATTCCTAGTCATTTTAGGTACACTAAAAATCAAATTATTTTTTTTTTCAATGAATAGAAATACATTCATGTATAATCAAAAGTATGCAACGTCTGCATCAAAAGAACGTGGCTTGTGTTTTCCTTGGTCAAAAGTAATCAAATGTAGTAATTTTAGTAAATATAATTATGCATCTAATCTGGGGAAATTCAATTTAGCTCAAAGAATGACTTTTAAAATTGCTTTTTTAAGTTCAACATGATGGTCTGTGCCAGTTGATAAGACACTGTTGAAATATATTTTCCTGATCATATTGTAGATAAAGTTATTCAAATGCAGAGCTAAGACATACAACTGTGTTTTTTTCCCTTTTATTCGTTTCATATGTTACTGATATATCTTGAATAACAAGTTTCCCATAAGTACTTAAAAAGAGCACCATATTAGAAATAGTGTGTGATAAAGATTTTTTTTTGTTTGCTGACAGCTTCCGGTTATTATATGTATATGGAAGCATCCAGTCCAGTTCAAGTGAATGACACTGCAGTTCTACAGTACAAAACACTGCCTTCTGATCAACCGTTCTGTCTAAGCTTCTGGTATCATATGTACGGTTCTAGCATGGGCTCACTGCGAATAATGGCAAAGGTGAGAGGTCACGTCATATTGCAATCTATCATGAAGACCTGTAAGTGACAATATCTTGCACAATAAGATATGTTATCTGATATTAGTAAGGTTTACAATATAATATTTGTATGGCCCATTTTAAAATTCATCCATTTTTTTTTCAGTTATTTATGTATAGGGATAATTTCTGTTATGTATTCATTTTCAGATAAATTATTTTCTTTAAGTGCAACATGCAGGCACATAAACTTCTCAGTATCTCTGTGGAAAAATATTATTTTAAAACTAGTTCTCTTATCCGAGAAAAACGTAAAAATTAAAACTGATTCATTGGCCTTTGGAAATGAATGCTTAATTGAAAATTCTGGCTTGGTTATTGCAAACAAAGATTTTTTCTTTTCACTTGATCAGAAAAATTTATCTAAATAGAAATCAGAGAGCGGGGTTTAATGACAAAATGAGAAAAAAAGAAGAATAACAGGTAATATGTATGGATTAAGTAATTTTGTTTTTGTGTAGGACTGTGTAACGAATACCCGAAGTCAGCTATGGAAAGAAAGTGGAAGCAAAGGTGATGCATGGAAAAATGCTTGTCTTCTTGTGGAACAACAAGGTCACGATTACAATCTCCAAATCGAGTCTGTGCGTGGTCCAAACTACCATTCAGATATCGGGATAGACGATGTTAATGTCAACACCGGAACGTGTTCTTGCCGAAAATGTACAAAAATTCTAGGTTTCCTCTAAATTCAAAATTGACATTTCAGTACTCTGAGAATAACAATATAAAGTAATTTTTTAAAAATTATTTTCAATGCAAATATTTCATTTGTTTTTAGCCATCAGTATTGCCTGTAATTTCGAGAAGGATATGTGTCAAGGGCAGGGTTTTGCTGCAAGACATAATACAACGTATGTTTTGCAATGGACTCGGATAAAAGGAGTGACACCTTCCGTAGACACGGGGCCGGATCATGACCACACCACAGGTATCAATATTGTTTAGATGACCGTAACAAGGATAACGGTAAACCATGACCACACCACAGGTAACAGCATTGTTTTGATGACCCTAACAAAGGTAACGGTAAATCATGCTGCCATGATAATACTGATGACCCTAACAAAGGTAACAGTAAATCATGCTGCTATGATAATACTGATCATAACAAAGGTAAAAGTGAACCATCCTGCCATGATAATACTGATGACCTTAACAAATGTGACAGGAAACCATCCTGTCATGATAATACTGATGACCTTAACAAATGTGACAGGAAACCATCCTGTCATGATAATACTGATGACCGTAACAAAGGTGACAGGAAACCATCCTGTCATGATAATACTGATGACCTTAACAAAGGTAAAAGTAAACTACCCTGCCATGATAATACTGATGACCATAACAAAGATTACAGTAGACCATCCTGTCACGGTAATACTAATGACCTTAACAAAGGTAACAATAACCTATCCTGTCATGACAATATTACAGAAAACAGTATTTTTTTACCAATCCACAGCCGGGCATTAGTATACATTTAAAGTATATCATTGAGGGAGTTAGCAAAATTCTAGTTCCCCTAAGACAAGACTATTTCCCGAGGCGCAGCCGAATCTTGCTTACTTCTTCAATGATATACTTTTCAACTGTTTTATTACACCAATACAAAAGTTTTTAAAAAAATAGAGGATTAAAAATGACGGGGAATTAGTTTCCGGACTAACGCACGGGGATAAGTCTATAAACATATTAGACCGATACAAAAGTAAGATCTAAAGGATTATGGATAACCGGGGAATTCCATGGAAAACTTAATCGTTCTCATTGCCATGAAAGAGGTTTGTTTGTTTTTGTGACAATTTTTTGCTCATTACAGAAATTATAAAGGCGTTGTTTATGTACTAGTAAGGTTATTATTTTTCAAAGTAAAGGTATTGATGCATTTTAATACAGGCACCCATCAATGCCTTTCAATAGAAAGAAAAAAAATATGTATATGAGATAAGGAGCCATTGATATTTCTTTTTAGCCACAGGATTTCTATTTTCTGATATTTTAAGCGTTCATGCATACCACATCATATTAGTTTAAAATTTTATTTGAACTTTGAAGTTTTGTTTATATTAAATATTGAGAAAGATCTATCCAACACTGACTAGTTTCTCTTTTTCGAATAACTTAAATTTCTCCGCTTAAATTTCTCCGCATTGTCCAGGCACTGGGTATTATATATTTGTGGAGACTTCCGGAGGCAGTTCTGGTTTAAAAGGTTCATTTGTATCTCCCGAGTTACCTGCTAACCAAGAGGCATGCTTGCACTTTTGGTACAATATGAATGGAGTGGATATGGGGAGTCTAGATGTACTCATTGAGGTATTTTGTCTGTTTAAATTTTCTTCTACTTTTCGAGACAATAAAACTTCTTTTTAATAAAAGCAAATTATTTTTTAGAGGTAAAAAGATTGCATTGGTATTTTGATTTTACACCCCTCCCACTTTTAAATAAATTTGAACCTTAAAAACGAATCTACATCAAGAAAACAGTATTAAATGTGATTATTTTTATGAATATATGCAGTAAATTACCAAATTAAATACAATTATAAAAATACTGATTTATCAAAAAGGATGCTGTTTGAGTTCATATTATCTTATCATAAGATAATGAAAAAAAGTCACAAACCGGTTCGATTAACAAATTTCTGAGAAAAAAAATTGTATGAAATTAAACCTTTTTTTTTATTTTAGCCGTCAAATGGCGGTAGTTCCAACATTTTTCATCAGACTGGAAATCATGGAGTTAAATGGATCGAAGCAAGGATGACCATACCTGTACAAAACCACCCATATAAAATAGATTTTCAGCCAACCAGAGGAGCTAGTTTTCATGGTGATGTGGCGCTAGATGACATTTCTATCAAAGATGGTTCATGTAGCTAATAAAAAAATACACAAAGAAAACGGTTTCCAATTTTAATAAAACTGTTTTTACACCAGTTGTACTAAATTCTGTACATAGTTGACAATTTAAAATACAACAAGAATATGAAAAGGTATGCTGCTGCTTTCACAAATAATGAGTATAAATCAAAGTATTTGCTGCTGTACATTTACCAAAACATTGGATGGCAGTTTTCAAGTAAGTATCTCATAACTACTAGTATTTCATCAAAACTGCATACAATTTATCTACAAACATTTTAATAAAGAGGATATTCAATGTTTTATCGTTGAATTTGGACTTATTTCCCGAGTGGATTTTTATATGTTCACGATTGCAAAGTAAGAGTGAAATATCAAATATCCTGTCACACAAGTGAGAAATAATTCCATTTTAGATAAAAAAAACATTGAATTTTCTATTTTTTACATGTCCATTGTTTTGTTTTAATTTTTTCAACAGGATAGTTTCTCTCTCTCTCTCTCTCTCTCTCTCTCTCTCTCTCTCTCAATAGATCAGGGAGTATTTTTTTTATATTTCAACACTTTGAAATGGTAACATTTTTATTCAATAAACAAAACTTTGGTATTTGAAAATTGTTTAATACCCAATAAAACATTTTTAGCTTCCCTCAACGAAGGCTGAAGATCTTATGTATGTGTAAAAACCCTCGGAGTCGGTAAATAGTTAAAGTAGTTGCAGTAAATTGTTAACCAAGAAATTATATGCCGAATTTAATCTTACATGAATGGATAATGTAACTATGTAGTATGTTTCTTTGTGGTACTAAGGTTTCAGATAAATCATATTCAGCCAATGTTTTTATCACAAGATTTGCCAGGTTTACGTGTTTTATGCAATTCTCATTCCTAATTAACTATAAACCTTATCTGCACCAAACTCTTAGGATGATAGTGGTGCACATCACTAGACTTGCTTCAGGTTCTGAGCTACATTTTCCAAAAGAGTGACCTTGAAAAAGTTTTTTTAAGAGAAGGTCCATATCATTTTAGGTCTGATGGACTAAACCTGCATATGAATTATGTTAGTATGAAAGCTATTAGATTTCCCTTCGGATGCTAGACTCCAAATGTATTTTGGGATGAAGGAACAAGTTATATTTTTCTAACAGTTCATTTCAATGTATCAGTGAGTCCTACCTGCACCAAGTTTGAGTGTATGATACATCTTGGGATCCTCACTACCAGACCTTCTAGTTCTAGATCTGGCCATATATCACAGTTGAGTGAATAGGGAAAAGACATTAGAGTGGATTCATTTACCAGTACATCTACATGTAGGTAGAGGTCTAATTGTGATTAAACTACTTGAATGATGCACCCAAGGATGCAAACTACAGACTTGCTTCAGATGTTGGAATAAACCTTGAATTTCCAGAGGAATGAAGATAGAAGTTTTATGTATTCCATTCTGTAATACATAAGCCTCATGTGGACCAAACCAAAAGAGAAAAGCTACCAGAGTTGCTTCAGATTTTGGATCTAACCATCCAGTTTGGGGGTAAAATATCAATTCTTTATTTAAGATATTCATTCTCAGCGTACGGAAAGTCTTATCCTATTCAAATTTGCAAAGATGCTGTCATCTTTTAGACTTGCTTCTTATGCTGAATCTTTCCAGATGAATGACCAAAATTATTTTGGAATTTAAATGTTACCCAATCCAGATTTGAGTAAATGTTAGTTCTAGAATGGATACTTCAGAATAGTTCTTTCATATAGAACTTGAAATAACATTCATTGAAATAATTTCTTTCATCCTTGATTAACATTATTTTCTGTGCTGAAAGTAGCAGTGAATGAATTAATTTGAGTCAAGAAACTGACAATTTTATTCTTTATTTAAAAAAAATAGAACTGAATCACCAGCAATCGTCAGCCAATAATACCAGGAATTGTCTCCCGTGAGCTGAAATAACAGAAAACGAGCGTATATATTTATAACGCAATTTTAAAACTTTTTAATGCTTTCCATGTTGAAGGTATATGCTCTCACACAATGAGGGTAAACAAAACACTGGATACACATTTCTCAAGAAGTTATGACTGGGTATAATTTTAATCAATTTATGATGAAGTGAGTTAAATAAAAATAGATTTTGAAACAGAACAAGAAGGGAACTGTGAGTACTGATTTTTCCTTCAATACTGTGATAAAATGACATCATTTGGCATTTGAATGATTTGAAGTTTAAAAAAAGAGATTTGTATCTCAAGTACAGTGTATTGCATGTTGAGTTTTTTTTACCAACATTTTCTTTTTAAGTGTTACACTTTCACTTTACTTTTTTTGACAAATGAAATGTTCCAGTCGTGAACACTCCACGTCCGCCCAGTGCCCTCTGTTGGTGGGTTTCTCTGCAATAAGGACACAGTTTTCATTGGTTGCGGGGTCGGGCTCACCCATTCCCCAATCTGCGGTTTCTACAGGTTCCCTAGAACTCGAATACACCCACGAGTGTCGGGCGGGCACCTCCTGGACTCCAATGTAGAAATATCCACTACCTTAATTTGGATGAATTATATAGTATTAAAAAAAAACTTAGAAAGAATTTCTATCTCGTGTATATTTTTTTTTGGTAAACAGAAATGAAAAATATGTCATATTCAAGGTCGATCTTCAGCCCAAAATCATATGTATAATTTTTTTTTCTTTCACTCCAGTGGAACAAACATGGAATATCTGTATCTTTTGATCCAAATTTATTAGTAGCATTTTAGCTCTCATTGAAAGAAATTGTAGTTTGCACCATAAGAACAAATCTTACCAATTCTGTTAATTTGTGTACCCAGAAAACTATTATCCTCTACTGATACAGGTTCAGCAAGTCCAGCATTTAATGAGAGACAGATGGCCTAAAAATAAGAATTAAAGTTTTAATACATTTTCCAAAGTTAAGTTGTTACGAAAGTAATTAATTATTTTGTGGTTTACTGCACAACTTATCTTAAGTATACAATTGGATACCTGGGCCGTGCTGAAATTCGCCACGGTCTTGCTGAAGAAAAAGCATCGGTCATTAAAGTCTATCCATCCCAGAGGACATGGTCCTTAATAAAAGAAAACCATATTCGATTTTTATAAGGAGAATAAAATTTTCCTTAAAAATTTCTTTAACTATCTATATATTTTTTACTTATTTGGGTATACAAAATAACTGACCTTTTTCACAGACAAAATGCTCGTGTCTGCTACAGTCCACATCCGCCCAGTGACCTTTGTTTGTTGACTTCTCTGCTATAACGACACAGTTTTCGTAGGTCGTTTGAGTCGGTTCAGAAGGCCCCCAATCAGACGTAAGAACGCTAGTTTGACTACAATTAAGAAAAGGATAATATTTGTCGACATATCTTTACGTTCCAAACGAAATGTACACATTACAAAACTACATGCAATTGAAATAAATAAAATTTATTTAATCTTGACTGCAATACATTGCTTGAATTAGATGAAACAAACTACTATGTATAAACGAATCAAATATTAAAATATATTCAAAATTTAACTTACTCGTAAGTGTACACCCAGTTGTTTTCTTGAACTCGGTCATCTACTCCGATGTAAAAGTATCCGTTGTCTGTTTTAAAATTTATATTAAAAAAGGTTATAACGAGGAAAGATCCATATTTTTCCAAAAAATTTAATACTAACAAAAACTCTTTCCTATTTATTAAAAATTATCACGATTCTAAATAGTTAATAGCAGACCTATTTTTATATTCATATGAAGCAGAATTTGTGCAAAATATTATGCGTGAAAAGAAGAAAACACGCTGTGGCCTTCAACTCGACATTTAGATAATTATATCGACGACGTATTGTCAATTAACAATGGTAATTTCCATTCCTACGTCGATACGATATATCCTGGTGAGCTTGAGATAAAAGATCCACAGAGTTTGACACATCTGTTTCATACTTGGATATTTTACTTGAAAATGGTAATCTAACAACAAAGCTACATGTATAAGATAAACGTAATGTCTTAAACCTTTCTATCGTCAACTTCCCTTACACCTTCATTACCTGCATACGTAGTATATATATCTCAGATGATTCAATACGCAAGAGCATGTTCTACGTTTGAACAATTTCTAAAACGAGGTAAATTATTGACAAGCAAGTTGATGAAACAAAAATATCAGCAGTCTCGTTTAAAGTCATCGTTTCGTAAGTTCTATGGTTGATACAATGACCTTGTTAGCAAATACAATTTATCATTGAGTCAAATGCTGACTGAGGTTTTTCATACTAATCGTTAGTCCATTATTTATACACTGAATTGAAGACGGATTTTTCCGTTATTTCCTGATCATGACAAGGAGCACACGGTGGGTGTGACCGGTCAGCAGGGGATGCTCACTCCTCCATGGCACCTGATCCCACATCTGATGTTCGGAGGTCCGTGTTTGCTCTGCTCTGGACTTTGATATTGGATACTGTTCGTTATCTTCATATCCTTCTCATAGTCACGATTCCATAGAAATGGCATCACTTGAAACTTGATACAGAAACAAGTACTAGTAATCAATGTAAATAACCCTTGAAAAATCATGAATACATTGGGATGTTTTTTTAAATCAAAGTTAAATGTCCCTACTGATTCTGTTCACTTGGCTTCCTAGAAATGCAATTTCCTCTGACGTCTGTGGCTCGGCCAATTTTCCTCCGTAACTTAAACAGGCGCTCTGCTTAACGAAAGTGAATCCTTAGAAAACTATTATTTGTAACCAACAAATCAGAAAAATATTATTTCAAAGATACAGAAATGATTTGTATGACGATGTTTTCAAAAGATATAAAAATGTCATTTAAAAAATTGAAATCATTTTTCCTCTTTTTTTTTTTTAAAGAAAAATTTACCGTGGCTAATTCAGAGGTTAAGGTTACGTTACTGAAATAGTAACATTTCTTTCCGTCCCTTATCCACGTTATTGGGCATTGTGCTAATAACAAAAGAATCAGATTATGTCATTATTTCAGAGATTTCCATATAATTATTACAAAAAACAGATAATTATAAAAGAAATATTTTTGTGTCATGCAGATTTCATTTGCCTTATGATTGCTTATCAGTTGGAAAATGCAAAAAGCTCTCTGGGTTTTCAGCGAAGTGGGTTATGCTGTACGGAAAATGTCTAGAACTTCAGAGGAAGTTAAAAATCTTTCTTTGATTTTGATGTGTTTTCTAGATATTCTGAAAGTCTTTTCTTTCTTTTTCGAAAAGTTTCGTTTGAAGATGTAAATGCAGTAAATTTTTCTAATTTCTGGATTGTTTCATCTTAGCATCTGGCTTCATAAGACTTAAAATTATTGAAACTTACCTATAGCACATAGCGTCCCGATGGTCTGAAGAATTAGAAATACGGTCAACCAACGATTCATAATACATGTAATGGAGTAGATAAAATCTTATCACACATTTTAGAGATCTACTAGTATAGGATAAATGACGGCTTATCTAAATATTTGTAATAATTGGCAAGAAACTGCGTAATATTTAAATATATGTTATAATTTTATTGGCAAGAAATTACCCAGGTATCAATCAAAATACCTGTATTACGAGAAGTCTCTGTGATTTGTGAAATTCTAATAATTCTAATAAATTTTTTTTATTTGCTTTATTTAATTGTTACGATTCAATACCAAATAAGAGGCACTGTGAGCTCTAAGCTCATTAAATGATACTTCCGCCTCCCATATGACTATAATGGCGAATTCCATGCTTTGCTCTGGGAGACCCGAAATAAGAATCAGATCAAAATGTACAATAGGAGGTCACATTGGCATGATGTAATAAAGAATGTGTGTAAGTATTAATCCTCCTAATCACTCCTTACGAACGGACAAACGGACGTACAAATGTCCTATTGTCTGTACGTCCGTCGGTTTTTTTTTTATGTTTTGGGGTACCCAAGTCTTATCCTCAACCCCTCGTATACCACTGCATGAAATTGAATGAGACTTTCACAGAATCTGTAACATAGTGCCATTATGCATCCTCTATTTTACTTTTTGATACAACATATATTTCAGGTATCCAGTAGCAAAACATGGACACTGCCTTTTTTTTATATAATATTGAAGGGGACCAATCTCTTATCTGCAACTTCTCCTATACCATCGAATAATTCTTTTGATATTTTCAGAGATAATCCCTTATCCACAACTTCTCCTATACCATCGAATACTAGTAATTCTTTTGATATTTTCAGAGATTCTTTATTACATAATGCCATTATACACCTTTTATTTTATTTTTTGATCTGACTCTTGTTTTAGGTTTGCCAGAGCAAAAACATGGACTTTGCCATTATAATCAAATGGGAGGAGAGGGTATCATTTATAGTGAGCTGAGGGCTTACAGTACCACTATTTTCTAAATATTTGCTAGACCCTGCAACGTATCTCTATTTGCAAAAACTATTTTTAGGTTTAGGAATTCTATATAGGTAGGGTACAGATCAAACTCACCTTGGCTGACTGGCATGTAAAAAGTTTTAAATACAAAAGGTGATTTTTGAAAAATTTCATCTGCGAGTATAAGCTGGATTTCCAGAAAGAGAATTGATGTCATGTTTTTCTAAAATATTGCTATAATAACGAGACTTGCAAACAAAGAGGATAATATCGCAGCCTTGTCGGCTAGAACTATATAGTCTTTCTAATTCAAATTAAGTGAAAACGACAGGATAGATTGTTCGCATAAGTATTGTCTTTATATATTTCATTTACAGTTCTTCAATGCATGTATGTTTCTAAAACGTTTAAGCAATTTAAACAAAATGTTCTGATCTATCTTTTCATATTAGCCCATTGTCTTGTAAAACATTCAAAATTCAGAAGAGAAATGAATGTAATTCAGTCACCAATTGAAAGATGGGGAAAAGACTGAATCTTTTATGATAATGTACACATGTATGTAGGTACTTGTGGTCAAAACATCTATTATATATTTTTGTCAAATTTAAGTTTAAGGAACCTCTGGGGTTTCATTTCACATTTTTTCATCTTCTGCGCACTAAAAATGATTCTGCAAGGCTCGGGTGACTTTTTGTAACGTTTTTCAACTGAAAAAATAACTTGTCTTCCCCATAAAAACCTCCTGAATAATACTTAAATTTAATAACTTTCTCACAACTTTGCTAATTATATAGGCCTATTATTAGTTATTAAAAATAAGTACAATCCTTCAAATACGTAAATTATCAAATTCTTGGTGTTAGGAACTGATGAATTCTAGAATTCTGCCGAACAAAATTTTATCTGTATATTGTTAATTACCATCTGTAAAATACAATAAATTTCAAAACTGAAAAACACTTTAATTGAATGATAGAAAATATCACAGCACGTTTATTTCAGAAATAAATATGAACATTTGAGCAAATACAGGCATAATATAAGACTAATGAGCATTGAATTAAATGTACAAATGTTCAGGAAAGAATCTATCTACAACTTATGTACAAGTAAAAAACAAAATTCAAAGCATTAACTGGCGTTGGAATCAAATCACGCACACGTGTGCTAAACGTCTGAATATTTCACAAAGGTAACAATTGTGTTTTTTGTGGCATAAGGTGCAGGGTTGTTGCAAGTCTACTCTGGTCTTCAATTGACTTTTGATTTTGTTTGATAGATGAATTTAATACTTCCAGAACAAAATAGGAGAAGAATTTAATATACATGTATACTGTATAGTATGAACAGAATTCAGCTGAAGATGATTACATAAATTGTATGTATGAAGATATTATAAATAAATAGAATGTTATTTATACACCAAGGTAGAGGCAATATCATACCCAAAGAAATTAAGGCAGTTTACTAAAATAACTTGCCAGCTACTCAATAGACTTATTCAGATATTTGTTATTTACAATTGTTACAATTTCTTGATGTACAGATACAAATTACATTAATTACCATGTCTACTCAAGAAAATAATCAAAACAACAAAAGAGTAATACTGTTCATTTCTTCATTGCAAACTCCTCCAGCATTTAACATAGGGTTTGAAACACATTTTACAATTTCAATTCAAAATTGTAAAAAAAAAAAAAAAAAAAAAAAAATAACAAAGTATGCAACACAAGAAAGGCATACTGGAAAGAATAGCATCAATAATTGGAAAAATATCAAGATTGTATTTGGCATTTCATAATCCATATCTAATAATTTATGAAATGCCTTTTTGAACCATATCATGTTAAAGAGAAACTATGGGTATAGTTTATAATCCAATTTAGATTTTATCTACTTTCAAAATGTATTCATGCTATCTTGTTGAGTTTTTACTTGTGTTAATGGTTCACGTTTTCCCTCAGCAGATTTTGTAAATCTAAGAGTGTTTTCCGTTTTCTTTTGACCCTCTGCGCATGTGTTAGATGGTTTTACGCCATTTCCGGTTCTACCAGCTTGGGTAGAGGGTCGACTTGGCTGTTTTCTAAATGCGTCGGTGACGGGTGGCTTGACTTGGTATCCTGAAAAACAGAATAGAATTTTATTTATTTTTAACTATTCAATAATGAACTAAATAATTTAGATCAAATGACAAAATAATTGATGGATATGATGTACAAAAGTTAAGATAAAGCTTTAAAAGTATTCAAATGTTTAAGTATATTTAAATATTCTACTATATACCGGTATTGCTCGACCTATACAAGACGAGACAAGGAAAAGTATAAATTATAATACGATTTATCATATAAAGATTGTAACAGCAAGGTAATATTGGTAAAAGTGCTTTGAGTGATAAATATCAAAACATCTTTGTGAATCTTTACATGTAGATATTTCAAAAATCGTGTTTATTTCACTGAATGTTTAAAAATTTAAAACCTATATGAATTGATACAAGTTTGTAACATTATACACAAAAGAAATTAAATCTGGATATACATGTATATACAGAGGATAATACCCGTTTTGTCATTAAGAATCAATATACCGGGTATAAAAGAAAGTTTTATATTTATATCGCAGCGCTGAAAAAACAAAGGAAAGTCTACATGCGCAAATCGTCACAGCATAATCAGTGCAATTTGTGAATAGATGTTTCAGCTATTGGTTTTATTGATCCGTACACATCCCAATTTTGGGAGAATTTTTCATCAACGTTCTTTATGTTTTGTTGTGAAGTTATAGTGAAAGAACGGGTGTGGATCAAACATCCACATTGTTCATAGTGATGTGAAATTTACACTAAATACCTCAGCATTAAAGCCATGGGGTTCAGGATAGAGATCTGGAAGGTGCATATAATATAAGATGCTTCATTAATGTAAACTATTACATCCCTGATGATACATGTCATGAGGATAATAATAAAGAGTTTTGAAGGTACATATTCAATAAGTTCTTTGGCACAAAAGAAGATGTAATGTAGAAGCAAATTAAGTACTAACACTGCAAAGTTGCATGTTAATGATAGGTCAGGCTCATAGTTCAAGATATCTTATATCTAATATTGCAAAAGAACTTTTAAAATCTAGAAAATGCATTGCAAATAATTTTCTATGTCAGGATATTGCATTTGCAATTGCATTCACTGAAGGATGACGTTGAGTTTTTAGACAGTTACCAAGGAACATACTTTGTTTAACTATAACTAGATAGCTTTTTAAAGTACCAGTCCACATAAAAATCAGACAAAGGGTGATATATGAGGGTTCTCAGAATTTGATGATTTTCCACTCATAGATTTATTTTGAAGTATGAACAATGTATGTAAAATGAAAAATGTTTTGAGTCATGGTAACCATGGAAACCCGGCCAAAGAAATTTCCTTAGCAACCGGCGGATTTTTCAGTGTTGAAGGACAAAAAATCACCTATCTTTGAGGCTTAAAATAACACGTAAATACCATGAGAATTATTCTTACTTGTGGGTGTAATAAAGATACACATTTATAGTGTTCTAAAAATGTAATAAAAAATATTTAGGTCTTAAGTCATTTCTGTGCTAGACATTGGAAGGTACACATGTTTTACAAGTTTTACTGATTCAGCATTTTTCGTGATTTTGACAATATTCAAGGCCAAATTTTAAAAATGGCCAGATTAATACAGTTGTTGCACGTATCTCACATAAAAGTAGAGATATTCCTCTTTTAGAATTTGAAGTCAAATCCATGGGCTCTTTTGAAAATCGAATGTGTTGCCTAGCAACAAAAATGGGCTTTTTGAGGCATAAAATGAGAAACAATGTAAAAAGTTTACGGAAAAATCAAATGAACGGTTATTTATGATAAACGAGATATACATTTTAAAATAGTGTAATTAAATTCGGTCTCCCTAGCACATTATTGAATATTGCATAATTCTTTATCTCCATAGCAACGGCAGGTTCTCCATAGCAACAAGGCAAAGAAAGGTCATTTTGGCGTGTATTCGTGTAATCTGATTAAGACTTATTCAAATTAAGTCAGAAAAATCCAGTTGAGCAAAATTGACAATGAAATTTTGGTTTTATTGTTTTTTTTTAATTTCTTAATCAACCCATACGGCAAGGATTCCGTGTACATGACAGCCAAAATTCCTATGTCTTCTGTAAATCAGATTTGACCTTTGGGATTGTATTGTTTGTCATGGAATTAGATATTCAAGTAATATGCTAATAATTGCATGGTAATAGTTCGGAAAGAATTTAAAATGTTGTATCAAGTTATTGAATATTGTTCAATGACTTATTTCCATAGCAACAACACCGCTCCATTAGCAACGACACAAAGAAAGTTTGACGCATATTCATTTTACCTGTAAATCTTTATCTAAATCACGTCATGAAGAAAAAAAATGATGTCGAAATGTTTGTTTTTCGAAAGTATTTTTAAACTCATTTAATCATAACAACTATTTCTATAACATAGCAAATGTCTTTAGAGAATTCCTTTATTGATTATTTTTTTTCTATGGCCGTGTAAGAAGCGGGGGGGGGGGGGAGGGGCTATTATGCCGATACTTAGCTATAGAATACTATTGAAAACTTCACTACAATATACATGTGACGATCTTCTATTTTCTGGTTTGTTTGTCAAGGAATTTGCGGTTGTTGATTGTTCCCAAACTGAAAATATATGGTTGTCCCCCCCCCCCCCCCCCGAAATTGCTTACTAAGGGTCTGTATTTACCGAAAGTGGTTTCTGCATGCCTTTTAATTTCCATCCTTGCATATCTGAATTCAAACTTAAAACTGCACTTTTAAAAGGGAGTTGTGCCTCTGAGATTTTCAGGTCACCTGAGTCTTTCAGGTGACCTATTGCTACCTCTTTCCATTCGTCGTCGTAAGTCATTCGGCGGCATAGGCGTAGTCACAGGGGGGGGGCAGCGGGGGCACTAGCCCCCCCCCACACTTTCAGATCTGGGGGGGGGGGGGGCAAGAGTTTGTCTGTGCCCCCCCCCCCACTTTTTAATGAAGAAGAAAATCACAGCTATTTTGAAATAATATTAAACCTCATTTTATGGCATTATTTCTATGTTCAACAACTGAGTAAGCATTTCTGTTGAAATAATATAGTTGTATAATGTGGGTCAAAAAATTGGAATTGAAAGTAACTTGCCTTTGAAAAAAAGTTGTTTACTACCCCCCCCCCCCCCCCCCCCCCCCCCCGAAATAGGATTTTCGAGTTTGGGGAACTTTCACTTTCTGGACTTGAGCCCCCTCACTTTTAAGTTTGTGAGTTTTTTTTTTTTTTATTTGGCTTGTCAAAGAATTTCTGGACTTGAGCCCCCTCACTTTTAAGTTTGTGACTACGCCTCTGGGCGGTCGTAAACATTAATTTGACCATTTTTAGCCGGGCTTATTGCTCAAAGAGTAATTGCCGGCTTATGTGATCCTGTTCAAGGCGGGATGTTAACCCAATAGTCGCCATTTTAAAGTTACGTGCAAAAATATAGTTCTTACTCTCAACCGCTTTTGAGATAATACAAACGCTATATAAAGCAACAAAAATAAAACGAATTTTTATCTATATAAAATAAACATTAGTAGTAATGACTTTTAAAACCTCATAAGTCAAAGAACATAGTTCATTAGCGTAAGGATTTTTGATACTCAGTGTTACCGTAGTTCTCTACACATACGAGGTAAAGCAGGAGAGGGAACCAGACTGGCCTGTTTGTTTATATTCAGCTGCGGTACCAGATTAGGATTGAAAAACTCACTGTCAGTGTCTTATCATTTATATTGATAGTTTTAAAATATTTTTTTCATCAGAACATAAACGTGATTCATGTAAGAAATCCATTCTACTCTGTAAATGAGCCCGGCTGTCTGTACTTCTGAGACTTTGATTAGCTTCTTCTCTGGAACCACTGAACCAATTTCAACCAAATTTGAAATAACCCATCTATGGGTAAAAGAGGAACAGAAATTGTGTATTTCATGGTCCCTGGGGCCTGAGGGGTGGGACCAAAACCACTAAAATAAATGCAAACTTTAAAATCTTCTTTACTTCTAGACACCAAGCAGTGAAACTGTTGGAATGATTGTAATAAGCATTGAGTCCTCTACACTGTACCAAAATAGTAAAATTCTTTGCCCCAGGGTCAGGGGTTCTATATGCTAGGGCTGGGCTAAATAGATTATATAGTGAAAATACATTATTTCTTTGAATATCTCTGCTCCTGGGTAAAATTAATTAAGTACACAGTAATGATGAGAAAGAATTCCTGTTCTACAGTAGTGAATTTCATGGCCCTTGGGCAGGGGTTCTGGCGTTAGGACGGGGATAAAATAATTATAGTTAACATGACTTGATTTTTTGAAAATCTTTTCCTCTGCTCCTGGGTATTAAAACAAACTAACCACATATATAGTTATGATGAGGAAGGGTGCATCATCAAAAATCGTGAACTTAATGGCTCCAGAATCAGGAGTTCTGGTGTTAGGGTGCAGGGCTCTTTTAATTATATAGTGAACATGCATTTTTGATATGGATAATCTTCTTCTCTGTCCCTGGGTATTAAACAACTTACTACATGCGTAGTAATGATGAGGAAGATGGCCTCTTTGAAAAGTGTGAATTTGATGGCCAAAGGATCAGGTTGTGAATTTCATGGTGCAAAGACTAGGATTTCTGGTGATACTTAGGATGGGGCTCTGATCATTAAATGGTGAAATTGCAATAATTCTTTGATAATTAATCTTCTTCTTTGCTCCCATGTATTTAACAAACTCACAACAGACATATAGTTATGATTTAGCTATGATCGTTCTTCCAGGATTGGGAATTCCAAGCCCCCTGGAACAGGGGTATCATAGAGGGCTGGGGTTGGGGGTTGGGTGGGGGGTTGTCTCTGGCTATATACTAAAAATGAATTACTTCTTTGAAATCCACTCCATGATGTTAATCAAACATTTATGATGAGCAAGGGTACCTTTTCCAAAATTGTGAAATGTGTGGACCTGAGGTTCTTGATGGGTGGGGGCACCACTGCGTAATGCTAAATATTACTTAGATTGGTTGAAATGCATTTTTTTAATTCCCCTACCCTGTCTATGGTTATAAAGTTACCAAACTACATAGGCGTCGGAACCGGGGGGGAGGGGGGGGGGCTAGAGGCTTAGCCTTTTTTTAGTACAGATATAGAATATTGCTGCGTAGGTTTAAACCCCCCCCCCCCACTTTCAATATACACGTTGCAGAATAGGTTTGAAATTAGGAATTCAAAGTGGTGCTGTTTGGAAAAAAATTGGTACTGAATATCGATCCTAACATCACCCCCCCCCCCCACCCCCCGAAATAGGATTCGTGTTTGGGCAACGGACATTTCCCTTTTTTACTTGTCAGGTTTCTTTTTGAGATCTAAAAAATGTTTTCTTACACTTAGCCCCCCCCCCCCTTTTAATTTGCTTCCGACGCGAATGAACTAAACATGCTAAGAGTATAGTTATGATGAGCAATGGTTGTGCATGTGAATGTCATGGCCTTTGGTTTCAAAACATAACCCAAAGTCAATTGCAAAACTCATTATTTTGGGTTTCAATGATTTATTCATGATTTATTCTGAAATATTTTTCATGAGTCTTAAATCCTAGCTACTTTCATTGCAGAAAAGTACTGCTTGAAAAATGTCAGAGATGAAAACTTGAAAATATCGGAAATGAAAACAATTCCGGAAATAAAATGCAGCCATTGAAACCAGGTACCGTGAGTGTCTTGAATCTAATCCACAATATACACTTATGTGTATGTACAAGTTACATTAAAACATTATTTATGGAAAACATCCTTAATTTGGTATCATATGATTTTTTCCAGTTCACACATACAAGAAATTTTGCCCCGTTTTAAAATGGCCCGGTCACAGTTCTGTTTAAGAATTTATACTTTGTTTTTTTTTAACTCGCCCCATTTTAAATTCGCTCACCTGTAGTTGTTGCCATGACAACAATTGATGGAACATGCATTTCATATATAATTTTTCAGCACTCTCCTCATATACAATCATCAATACATTAATTTAATATTCATTTCCATAACAAACACTGATCCCAACGTCAAATTTGTTTACAGGAGGCATAGGGTACATTGGTTGCCATGCACTGGGAATCGTTGCCATGGGTTGATTAAAGACGAAAAAAAAAATTAAGATTGACCAACTGTTCATTTTCAGTTTTGCTCAATCACATTTTTCTGACTTAATTTGAATAAGCCTTAATAAGATTACATGAATACATGCCAAAATGACCTTTCTTTGCCTTGTTGCTATGGAGAACCTGCCGTTGCTATGGAGATAAAGAATTATGCAATATTCAATAATGTGCTAGGGAGACCGAATTTAATTATACTATTTTAAAATTTATGTCTCGTTTATCATAAATAACCGTTCATTTGATTTTTTCCGTAAACTTTTTACATTGTTTCTCATTTTATGCATCAAAAAGCCCATTTTTGTTGCTAGGCAACACATTCGATTTTCAAAAGAGCCCATGGATTTGACTTCAAATTCTAAAAGAGGAATACCTCTACTTTTATGTGAGATACGTGCAACAACTGTATTAATCTGGCCATTTTTAAAATTTGGCCTTGAATATTGTCAAAATCACGAAAAATGCTGAATCAGCAAAACTTGTAAAACATGTGTACCTTCCAATGTCTAGCACAGAAATGACTTAAGACCTAAATATTTTTTATTACATTATTAGAACACTATAAATGTGTATCTTTATTACACCCACAAGTAAGAATAATTCTCATGGTATTTACGTGTTATTTTAAGCCTCAAAGATAGGTGATTTTTTGTCCTTCAACACTGAAAAATCCGCCGGTTGCTAAGGAAATTTCTTTGGCCGGGTTTCCATGGTTACCATGACTCAAAACATTTTTCATTTTACATACACTGTTCATACTTCAAAATAAATCTATGAGTGGAAAATCATCAAATTCTGAGAACCTTCATGTATCACTTTTTTACAGTTTTGTCTGATTTTTATGTGGACCGGTACTTAAATAAAAGCAACAGTACTGATGGCCTAATACTTACCGTCATCAGCTTGTTTGGGTGGTGGGGAGGGAATTTTCTGTTCCGTCTTTTTCATCTCGTCTGCATTGGGTTCTCCCGGAACGCCTGGTTCATTCAACACTAGCCTACAATATAACGTTCGATCATCTTGACTATAAAAAGAAGTATGTACATTGTATGTCATAAGCATTAGACTATATATGAATTGGTTATGTTCATAGTATAGAAATGTTGAGGGAGGGGAAAATAATTTGTATTTTACTGCATATAGCAATAGGATTCTGCAAGAATATATATTGGAAGTAAGTTTTAATGTACAGTGAATACTAGTAATTTTAAATACAGTATATTACATGTTAAAGTGTACTATACATGCATACCGTTTTGTGTTTAGCAGTTTAGGGGTGAACGAAAAAACATTGAATGTGCCAAATATTATCTGTCTGGCGTGTAATGTAAAGGGATATAAGAAGGATATCATTTCAGGTGAAATCCTCTTGTATATAATGTGAAATAGTGTGTAACTTGTGCAAAAAAGAAATGATAACTGAATTTTTGGCAGGTGCTATATTCGGTACCAATTTTCATAAAAGGGTTAACATATTAGTACTTTTTCAAGAGAACATCAGCCTATAAGACATATTTTATAAAACATATCAAACATCCAAATGAAACAAATGCTTTATCGCAACGGTTGTACAAAAGCATCGAACAGAAAAGACAATAAGACAAAAGACAGTTATGACTGACAGAAAGCATTAGATCTTTTTTAACATACAAACTTTTACAAAGATATGAATTTATAATAACTTGATAATAAATGAACGATTTGCCATGACTAGATGTAATATAAAGGACACTTTTCCAAAATATTTACTGAGATCATTTAATGAGCCTAAAAGGAAATACGTATGAAGAAATTGCATCAATATCTACAAGTTTCTAAAACGCCTGAATTCAAGCCACTGCAAGTCAAAAATCAAGTGAAAAGACACACTGAAATCTACTGTGAATACCGACCCTTGCATTGTACTGAACATTCTCATGTCAGCATTCTCAGGATCGAGAGAAGCGATGGGGTCTTTCAAAGTAAGTCTGTAAAAGTTAGAGTTTCACTCTACAGGCGTGTTTCTGACACCTCAACAGTCAAAGGACTGGTTCAGTTAGAACTCTTAGATAGTTTTGAAATCTTTTTTGGTAAAATTATTTAGTACTTGAAGAGACGTTGTACATGCAGCTTATCACTGTTAGCATATCTAATTTTGTAAAGATTTTTAATATGAATTTAAGTCGCACCTTTAGATACCAGAAACTCATAAATGAATAAAACTAGTATATTTAAATGTTTTTTTTTTTATATTTTACCATTTCATAAAAAAAATTTGAATGTTGAAATATTATATTTCATTCCATTTAAACACTTCCAGAAATTAAATATAATTTCTACATCACCCACTAGTTTCTATAACACTTCCATGCCACTACCAAAGGAAAATTATGTAATTTCCCTACACCCACCTGTCTGATTTCTCGCCTCCCCCCACTATCTGGCCCGTCTCATTGATGGGAGGGAGTTTCGTCCTGGTGGAGTCGTCCACGTATTCTACAGGGACTTCTCTCTGGTAATATTCACTCTGAGATCCCATGGCTGACCTGATCAGGTCCATCACGACTCCCTTCTCTGAAATAAGAAAGATAGATAGTTGCAACTATATTGTATATTTTTTTCAACATTCTAATTTTGAATGTAACTGAAAATAAGTTTACTCTGTAACAAGGTATTTGTTATAATTCTATGAAAGTTAGGATGCCTTGCATCAATATTGTTTGAAGTCATTAAATCGTCTTCAAACCTCTCTCTCCAGCTGAAACGAGCCAGGCTTGGACTGCATTAATGTCTTCTGTTTGTAAAATCTGGCACAACATCTGCAATACCTAGCAAAAAGAAAGATCGAATGCAATTAAAGAACTCCTTGCAAAAAGAAAGATCGTATGCAAAAGAACTAGCAAAAAGAAAGATCCCATGCAATGAAAACTCTTTTAAAACTTTAGGTCAATTCATAATCATTAAAAAATGAATTATTTTAGAATTTAGATTTCTTTATTTACCATGGCTTCTACATCTGGTTCTGGTGCTATATGCTGCAGATTTCCGTAGTATTTGTCTCTGCCGCTCCTAGATCCAGTCTTACCACGTGACATAGCACGTGATGGGGGCGGGATGATTCTTCCTGTTGTTTCTGAATACTGTGTTTTAGGTCTGTCCAAAAGACCAGGGGGTTGGGGCTTCTTAGGTGCCAGTTCCTCGGGGGAAAGTCCGATGGCTTTAGTTAACTGATGGAGTTCATCCCGCCATTGTTCTGTCACGGGCACTAAATACAAAAAAAAAAAATAGGTACATTTAAGACATGAAACTAGAGAAAAGGTAAAAGCATTATCTGTACAGTTGTAGATTATTATGATAAATTTATCTTTCAATTATCATACACTTTGACTTTTCATGAAAATCACGATTCAAATAGTTTGTAGGAGTTGCATCCTTTCGGCTTAGATCAATTATATTCAACTAGATTTCATATAAATATATTTGTGATTTTCCAAGCCCGAATTCTTTCGATCCAACAAAATAATTGGTTATGTTAAACTGTAATTCCCAGCACACAGCATGCATTAACCCAGTGATTTTATATCTGCTTTCAATATAGGTCAGTAAATTTTGCATTCTCGCTCGCCATGTTAGAACTTTCTCAAGTTTTAACAAATTGAAAATGGATACAATCTTAGAGGTTAAGCCCTTTTTGTTCAGCAAAAGTTCATGAATGATCTCGAGTCGTATTTATCATTGGTATGACTTTTGCTAACAATAAGGGCTTAATTTCTTTCAGTTGAACGATTTCGTTATTTAGAGCGTTCTGGAAAAGCTATCCGAGCCGACTACGCTAGAAATAATATTCACTAAATCTACATGTATTTATGTATGAAAACACTTTTATGTTGCCTCAAAGCTAGGTAAGCCTTATGAAGTGAATTATTGATTAAATTTGAATTAAAATCACAACAACAAATTCTTTGCTGGCTCTTTATTGATCAACAGTAATCATAACATATTTAAGAATAAAAAAATATAAAATAAAATTAAAAGATTGATTAAATAATTGTCAATATATCTTTATGCATCACAGCGCTGCATGTCACGTGAATTGTGAAATGGGGTCAACAAGCTGATTAATAACTAAAGTGAAAATAGAAAGAAAAAATCAGTCAACAATCACCAACAAGGACCACTCGAACACACGCCAGCGACCTTGAGTGCTCTCTAAAAGCAGTAGTGTCACAAATACCGACCTCAAAAGCCCCAATTTTATCACAAATGCATATCGTGGTGCCATGAGGATTTCAGATCCTCGGCCAAGCTCTCTCCCTCATAAAAATCTTCGCGCGGAAGCTCCGTCCTGAGACGAAGCTCTGTGCGCGGGCGCAGAGGTGCAAGAGAGCGATGACCCAAGGACGCTTTGGCACTGTTTTGGTAATGCCCAGAGACAGAATAACCTGTTAGATAAAAGCAAACATTGCCAAAATTAATAGTGACAGTTGAGATCGGATTCAAGGAGGGTTTGGGTAGAATTCCAGAACAAAAAAAGTTAGCGTGGTAATGACGTAAAAGCTGACGAACAGTTTTTCACCATGTCTTTTATCGTAAACAAATACATTAAAGCAGTACTCAATGTGTTTGGAAGAAGAAACGATGTGTTAGTAATAAACGAAGGTTATTGAGATTTCTAGTTTTAATATGGGGATTATTTCGAAAGGTAAATATTGGAGCATTTGGCTTATTTAACATGAGATTAAGCATATCACAAGTGTTTGCGTATGGTAGTTTGTTCGTAGGCACAGGACACTTATTTTCACTCCGTTCTGTATGCTTTTCGGTTTAAATTCCAGATGTTCATAATTTTATAAGCAATGAATTATAACTACATAGTCATTTTAATTGGGGGTACTCGTAACAAACACATGCAAAGTAAATTTAATATTTTGTTCTAAAGATATGCTGCTGATAATTTCTTGTAGTCGTTTTAATAAAATTAGTTAAACTATCATGAAATTAATCACAGTCATTGTAAAGTTTACTGAGCAGATTAACATATCTTTTTAAGGGAGAAGAGAGCCAATAAAAATAAGTGATTTGCGCAAATCTAAGCATTAAATAATTACCAAAACTTTGCAACACGTCTGTTGGGCCCGACAAAATAACATAACATTAACAAAGAAAGATTCAAGTCTATTATAGAAGAAATAAACAACTGTATAGCAGCTTCGAGTTTTGGGGGTTTAATGGTTCATAGTGAAATAGATCAGAAATATTTGAGAGTTCTACGTCTAGTTCTTTCAGTTCCGTGCAAGCAAAGCCAAACAACAGTTTTGTTCAGATTCCAGACACATAACCAAGCATGCGTACTCACCCATTCCCACTCTTGGGACCGCCTTCTCTCGGAATGGGTAACTATTGAGTCCCGTGAAGTACTGTAGACCGGTCACGGTATTGATGGGGTGGAGCCGGGAGTTGACATTAATGGCGTTCACCGGAACTTGTCCCTTCCAGTTGCTCATCTGCTTGTTGTTGAAGGCGTTTGGCGGGAACTGGAGAGAGTATTTAGGGCTGGCGAAGTAGCCGTCATCATTAACAGCACAGATTGGAACATCTAGGAGACCTTAGATAGAATAAAACAATATTATACTCATGGTCAAGGTTTGAATTTGTATCATGTTGTAAATTTTGAATTTACTGGGGGAGGTAAATGCAGAATTTACAACATGTTGTAAATTTTGAAATTTTACGGAGGGGAGGTAAATGCAAAATTTGCAACATGTTGCAAAGTTTGCATTTATCTCCCCCTGGTAAATTCAAAATTTACAACATGGTGTTTGTGTGAACGATTATTTCGATTTAAGGAGCAAGTTTTCCCCATTAGGTACCATAGGGCATGGTAATGGAAGTACTAAAAGTAAGGAGAATTATTTAAAACATTTAAGAACTTGCACCCCACCCCTCCATCCCCAACCCAATAAATCAGTACTGAAATTTTGTAATTCAATATTCAAGTAGAAAAACTATATCACTATATTTTGTTTCATTTTTTTTTTCAGTTTGTTGAATGGGATGTACATTAGATGGTACTCTGTTACATTGGAAATAGCATGCTCAATTAAAATTTGAAATTCAATGCTGGCTACGTAGGGTGTAATTATAAAAAATCAGTATTTCAATACAACTTTTTTTCGAACTTATCTCAACCCATCTTGAGTAAAGATGATAATCAGGTAACACATCTGTACATCGATATATATATCTCAAAGGTTTACAATGCGGTTTTTGAACAATGGAAGGTAATAGTAATATAAAACTGTCTGATATTTATCTAGATAAAATATCATATCATTGACGGTTTGAACAACCCCTGTATTATAAGTCAGAAGGACATATTTGCGAGAAGAATTAATTTTGATTTAAATGTCTTTCATCTGTAAAATAGGCCGCTCCGTGAGACGTTTTGGTAATTCTTTTCAGTTCTGTATAATCCGCGTCCAGATTAAAATTTAATTGAATATCCTTCGTTGGTGAAATTCTCGATCGCCTTATTTTGATGTAGGTATTCCTGTATGTTTTGACAACAGTGTGATCTTAAAAATATTTTGTGCATTATAATATTTACTAGTTCTTTGAATCCATAACACACAAGTGAAGTCAATTTATTGAACTCTTCACTGATCCCTACATGCAATTTGGTCATACTCGGTGAGCCTTTGATTAAAGAGGAATTTTTTATAACAGGTGCGTTTAAAACATCTGAGATTATTCATAGACTCATTTATTTTATTGACAAACATAGAAAAATTGACACATTATTCATTATTAATTTCCATGGTTATTTAAACTAATACTAAATGTAACTGTAACGCATTTACAAGGTTTCACACTGTTAAAGTTGATTAAACACTTTGTGCAAATGTCGAACTTTAAATTTATTGGGCGACACATAAACTTGTGAAAAAGTTTAATCAGAGATCAGCCATCTATGATAACAATAACATTTAATCAATCAATTCTGAAGTCGTGCTCTTGCTCGCCAGATATTTTAATTGGTAGTTCCTTTAATTTGAATGCTTCTTAAGTAGTACGACACGTATGCCGGTATATGTTGAACTTCCGAGGGAGTGGGGGGGGGATTCATTTGTTTATTTTTACACTGTATGTCAAAATTTTACGTTCTTAATTTGTAAATTATAGTTTTTGTATGCATACACTGCATCAAATTCATGGGCATGTATATATTCTGGATTTTCTTTTACCTTTTATATGACGCACGCGATGGGGGTGTGGGTTGTGTCGCGTGAAAAATGAGTTCTGGCTAAGCTGTCCAAATCTATATCCTCCTGTAGATCCCTGTGTTGAGGGCCTCTTTCGGAAGCTATCTAGAGAGGCCATGTATCCCTCATCAACAGGTCCAGGGCGAGCAAACAAATCACCATTGGTCGGTCGGAACACCTCTGACTGACTCATACTGCAGAAGGAAAAAGTTTTCAGTTTAAAAGATATAGAAAAAACACCCATAATGCTTCTCTTATTATTGCTAATTTCTAGTCTTGGCATTAATCTAATTGAAACTTTTTATTAGTGTGTAAGAAATATATACAACTGCAATAGGCCTAGTAAATTTTGTGTTTATACAAGTGTATTTTTGTATTTTCTGTCATATTCTTGCCATACTATATATTCTGTCTTCCGATTGTAAGCTATTTGTGTTAAATTCAAGTGCAAACATAACCTTCAGTTTGATCCTTTGATACATCAACATTGTCGTTTTCACAAATATTTGTCATTTTACGCCATGGGTATTAAATTAAAGATCAATACAATGTAAACAACCAAATACATAAACGAGTTTGGTGTTTAAGAAACTACTATTCTACTCATGCATATATATCTAAAGTGGATTTATAAGCCATAAAAAGCTAGTAAAGGATTTGTTAATTCTTACTGAAAATGAAAAAGACTAAGCTTTGATCTTTTGATCAATTCACCTTTCAGCAATGAAAATACATTGTTTATCTAAATGCTTTGATCTTTTACACCTACAAATTTGTAAAAATGAAAATGAAAATACCGGGTATATCTTAATTTGTTGATGTCATACCTGAAACGACACATTGGTAAAACTTGACTACAACCCAAATAATTCTATGGTCAACTTGTTAAAGATATGTTAAGAAACAGATTATTAATGATGTAACAGGAAAAAAATATACATATAATGGCTTCTATATTTTTGTCTATTATAGTATCGTCATCATCATGTAGAGAATTTTGTAAAGCATACAAAAAGTTTGAAAATAAAAACTGAAATGAGTAATAATAAATAAGTTAATAGTTGTATAAATAGTATATATAATTTGACTACATCAGAATCAGAAAGTTAAAATGCTGTTCTAAATTACCCTACATGCATAGGTTTATGTGTAAAGATTGACAGGAGCAGAAGAGAAGATATTCTACGTTGGTTTAATTTATTACTGAATAAAAAAAGAACTACGTTACACTCACTCAAACATGTGGCCTTGTTGGTGTAGTAAAGCCATGATCAAAAATAATCCTGTGCAAAAATGAATTTCACTGTATATCACATTAAGGGTATCGTGGATTTATAAACCAGCGACCAACTTGCTGAACCTCTCATTTACAAGTACATGTAATATTTTTTATAGAATTAAATACCCGTAGTGCGACATATGCACTTAAGTGCGGTTCCTAATTGCACATAGTTCGACACTTAGGCATGATGCAAACTTTTCATACCTCAATAGGCAATATGAAGTTTCATTGTAAAATTGTCAACGATTTATAAGCTTCACACTTTTCATTGTCATTGGTTAAAGAATGGTCTATTGCGTGTTTTAATATTGAATTGATATTCTGGTCATGATGTGTTATGAATCGAAGTAAAGTTCTTGTCGTTTTTTTCATTCACTTCAGCGTTCTTACAGTTTCTTTATTTTCGAAAAATATTAACAAAAAAATAATTATTGCTACTTTAGTTCAAGACTATTCAAAGCACAGTCAAACCTCGATATCCCGAACTCAATAGGCGATTACAAAAAAACTTCAAAATATCCGAGGATTCAAGATATATTCAAGTTAAAATACTTAAAAATAAAAAGCTGGGAACTTCCAAATCACTTCGATATATCCATTATAATCGAGATATTCGTGTTCGACAAACCAAAATTCAACTGTGTTTAGTCCGCGCGTTATATATGCATGAATACTTCAATTTTGTTTCCTACACAGTTAACGGTAATTGAAAGAATATCTGTTAGTTTATTTTTATTTTTTATCACACCCACTGCCAATAATATTAACTAAAGACTTCGTATTACAGGTATTTTACATTTTTGCCTCCCAAAGAGGTCGTCATGATAAATATAGAACTAGACCCATTCTCGGCCCTACGCTCTTTCGTCGCTTGATAATTTCTCGATTCAGTTAGACTTGAGCCCATTTACAATTTCCAATATTTGTTTTCCTCTGAATTCAAATACACACATCCGTTAATCAATTCGCTATTTGTGTAACATTTCTTTTTAACAATAAAGTTTTTAAATACGAGCGTGCCTAGCGACGTATTGTGTCCCTCATAGCAATGAGAAAGTAGCCGCTTATATCACTAATCACATAAAGTGTTTGCTCAAATAGAAATTATGCATTGAATGACACAATCGTAAATAATAGATACACGAGCCTACTGTTGGGATGATATTTCGAATAATACAAAGGCCTACATGTTTATATTAACTTCCCGGAAAATGAATTCGAGCTTGCTGGATTTTAAGGACCCTCTTCCAATGAAAATGTAGTGTTGAACTTTGAGAAAATTGTGTCATTTAGAGAAGAAATTATAAAGTTGACTTTTTTTTCATTTTCAACTTATGGTACCCTGTAATCCCCCTCTCACATCACCCCTAGGAAATATAAGTCAGCTAAGTATTGATAAACAAAAATCACTACTGCTCATTAGCCAGCTTATGTAGAATCACGTGCGAATACAATATTCACTTAACTTAGTCTATTATTATGTTTAGACTACTTCAAATAATATTAAATAGTAGATTTTCAGTTTATCCTATTTTAAATCGAAGGGCAGATCACTCAAATTGCCCCATAGACTTGGAACTCTTCAGTACTTGTGCAGAGTATATTGCATCCTTAAAGTTACGCGTTTGAAAAATTGGGTTAAAAAGAAGGCCGTGGCGGTTTTTTTTTTTTTTAACAAAATCCAAAAATACATACCTATATTTGTTTATAAATTCAATCCATTTATAAGAATGCTCCCGAATAAAAGGAAATGATGTTACTTTAATAAATAAAAAAAAAAACAGTTGCAACTTCAGTTCATATTCTCTCAGGCTCAAAGAACTCAAAAGTTGTTGGTTGGTTATACCTTAATCAAATGTCATTAAGATCCAGGATTTTGTAAAAAGTCCGTCAATCAAAGACGATAAGGCTAAACATAGACGTTATATTCCAAAAGAGAATTTCAAAAACAGCTAGTATTGGTGATTTCTATAGAAGAAAGTTTGGTTCAATAATCATTCTAGATCAATGTGATTGAAGACTTCCATACACAAACAATTAAACAAACCAACAAAACAATCGTCACTGCTCACGTTAACCTAAGGACACAAATGTGCTACAAAAGTTCCCTAAAAACAGATCTAAGTATTTACAAATCCCCGCGTTCTTAAAGTGTGTTGTCTGAGAAAAATCTCGGTATTAAAAGATTGTGCAAAGCAATAAAACGAAAATTAAATCGATCAACAAAGGCCAAAGGAAAGACATACATCACTTCTAATACAAGTTCAAAATTTGACAGATACACGAAACATTCTTGCAGCAAATGTTCAAATCGTGGTTATTCAAACACGAATCCTTGGCGTTCCAATGAAATTCTTAAATACCGACATATGTATATGCAAGTTAGAAGCAAGACATAAGCTCATAATGTGTTTTTATCATCCGCCATTTATTTTAAAAAATCAATTTTAATTCCGCACAGTTTTATTTTATCAACATTTTGAAGTATACTTGATAGTCTGTTTTTAAAAACAGAGGGGGTTCTACAAGTGTCAAATATATAAATTTTATGAAGTTTTCGAGCAGGAAACCATTTCAAGATATCAGGAATGTTTGTCAATCTTTCACAAGAACTTTTAGCAAATACAGTAAATAGGTTTTCATCAAAATTTTGACAGGGATTTTTACATTCTTTCATTTCATTTCATCTTTTATTGCTCTCTTGAGAGTTAAGGTAATTTTCGTACTTTAAAGATATTACATAAATTCTAAAATTAATTTACAGGCTGAATAAAATATGGAGTGCAAACATAAACTTTATAAACAGAAAATACATTATTGAAATGAAAGATATTTTCAGTTATTAGAGCCCAAGGTTGTTTAGAAAGTGTAATCCCTATTTAGAATCTATTAGTTTTATATTGGCATTCTAATGCATAACAAATAATTCTAAAACACATAAATAGCAACGGCACTTGGCAGCCAAATTATGCACTTAGTTTTTTTCTCTGCACTTATAACTAGCCACCAAGAGCAAACTTTGAAATAACAAAATTCACATGAATGAATTCTAATACAAAAGTAAAAAAAAAAAATTCTTTTTTTTTCAAAAAAAAAGAGGGGGGGGGAGAGTTATGGCCTCCGACTTAGATAATTGTTCTTCAAGGGCGGTAACTTAATTCTGTAGACGATTATTAAAATGTAAAGACTGTCATCTAAATCCGTCGAACGTTTGGCAGACAGATCAGATCAATGTCTGTAATTTGGAGCTGTTCGTCATGGTTATGTAATGCTAGGAAGTTTCGGCTTTTCGTGAGATAAGGCAGGATAAAAAATATAAACCAAGTGTAGGTTTTATTTAGTTTTCTTGCAGTGGACCTACATGCATGTGTGTTTTTTTTAATTTCTAATTAATAGAACCAATTGCTTTAACTCAACCAAAAAAGTTTGTGAGTAGCAATCAATTGAATTGACTTATCCTCGATAAACATTTGCCGAATTAAAAGAGCATATATTAAGTGTACAGCACTTATTATTGCAACAAATTACCAATCAATGACAAAACATAGATTTGGACACCGTGTGAATTTAATCAAGTATCTGCAAAGTCTTTGATCCAGGGGATCGATTGCGCCTACAAAACTTGCATGCCCATGCAGTCCCATAATTTTCCTTTTGATCTAACCCAGCAGGCCTTATGACAAATTGTCACAAATAGCTCAGGCAGTTTGTAGCCATTTTATACAGTATAGTAGCGATTATTTTCATTTATCAGTTAAACTTTTGACAACCCAAACTTGCTTCAATATTCTTTCCAGAGCTAGTTTGTTCAATAATTCTTTAAACACCAAGCATTTACAAGGTTCTTGGTAAAGGCTGTCAAATGCAGTGTACCAATGTGTTTGCTTTTAAGCAGATTCACTGCTAGGGGGCGACGTGCCCATGAACCAATAACGGTTCTGTTGATCAAATATCATTCACTGTCGTCAGTTTAACAAGAGACTTATCCTTTAACTACGACTAAATTAAAACCATTTCTTTAATTAAGGATTGGGTTTATGTATACTTTATCAAATGTATCTCCGTTTAAGGCATTTAACTGCAATTGAAAGCTATAATTTATGTTGGTTGACGCGCAATTTTCTCTCGGAGACGGGATAAAATGGTTATAAGATGAAATACTTGATGTATGTGAACACTGTCAAGCTACTGGAATGGGTCTACACAATACCCACGTTGGATTAAAAGAAATTATGGCATATGGCGACAGCTTTTAAACGCCAAAGCTATTTTTCCAATATTGGTCACATTGATACTGATAACTTTTTTTTTTAACCGAGGATTCATTTATAAGGCATTTTTAAAAACATTCAGAAAAAGCTTTCTCATCAGAAATAATTTTTTGGAATGTATTTTTTAAACAAGAAATTAAAAGAGAAGCTATAAACTAGACTGAACAAATTTGTTCTTCAATACTTCAACCTCTCACTTTCATTTAGAGAAGAAAAGCGTTCAATGGTCAAAATAAACTGTATCAGCTATGCAAATCAAATACCTCGTGTTATCGGTTTTTTACAATTGATGGTAGTCATCTATTCTAAGACAAAAACCTGCAATTTGTCATTGACTTTAGGGTAGATGGCAACATTTGTAGATACAAACAGGCAAAAGTAAAATCAAATCGTCGATAATCACCAAATTATTGGACTTTATGGCTCTTTAAGTTTAAAATATTCATAATTCGGATGAAGTAATAGCTCCTTCAGGGAATATGTGAACCATATTTCGATCAGAAAGCGATGATGCTCTATATGTAATGGGGCCTGATGTATTTAATAATGTACTTTGCAGCCTACATAATAAATGAAACGCAAAGCAATGAAGTGATCTTAGACCTATTTAAAATAATTTTGCATGAATGGCAATTAACTTTCAAGGCCTTTTGAAGTATTCTAATGGAAACATTGAAAAGATACCAAAGTTTTAGTTCGAACATTTTTGGAAAAATAAGTTGACCATCAATGGGTGTTTTTCTTTCAAAGACATCCCAAAGTAGTGACATACATTTGCTTTGCAATAAAAACATTGACACTGGTTGTTAAAATGCAGGTGAATGAGATATATGGAAAATATAGATTGATTCTAGAAACATTATAACCTGACAGAAAATGAACCAGGTATAATCTTTATTTTCGTCGGAAAATTCAATAAATATTTTATAAACGGATAGATTTTTGCTCATCTAATAAATGTATTTGAAGCTTTCGAAGCAAGATCCTAAATTTCATTTTTTTTTCAAAGAAATTTTAAGAAGGACGTACATGGGTGAAAAAAAACATGTATAGTGCTCCTAGCTGCAATAAGATTGTGAAACATGCTGAAACAACCCCCCCCCCCCCCCCTGTACACCATTCTTAAGATGAAGTGTTATATAACTTTTTTTTCAAAAAAGCAGCATGGATTTATTTATTTTATTCATTCCTAGTTTATCTGTTAACATTCCGGCAGAAGTCAGAGTAATTTATTTTAAATAGTCATTAAAAATTTCACTCAGTTAATATTTAATATTTACCTACAGGGATAAAGGTCCTATGGGCGTTTATATTCTTACCAGACTCTATTATCAAAACCAAACACCTTCTTCAATAAATCGTCTCTTCAGACCAGTCAGTTTAAATTATTCTCCGAATGCTTCTCGAGTGCTTTCCTCAATTTACAATGAATTTCTAATCAATTTATCTAGTGTCAAAAGATTAGAATATACAAAACTACGTATGTACAAAATGAGTTCCCCATATCTATTATACGTTTGGATTGCAGTTTAACAGTAAGAAATATACTTCATATTATTTGGTGACGTATTTTGGAGTGCAGTGCATGTGCCAAGGCAAGCAAGTGCTATCCACGTAATACCGGGGTAGCAATGTAACAATTTCAATATATTGAAGGACTGTATTTACATGCATATACCCAAATTTCAACATTTTTATATAACAGGTTTTTGTAACATTGGAGACATCGTCGCAAACCACGGCCAAAATGTACGATCCTCTCCCATTCTGGTAGGAGAGAGCTATATGCGGACTCCGGACCGTGGCTTGAGACGATGCATTGGAGAAAGACATGGACGAAAAAGATTCTATGTAATACAGGACATTTTTCAATCATCTTCGCTAGCCAAGGTTTTTTTTTGACCCGCTACTCTCCACACGAACATGTTTTGTGATGAGAGTATCGGCTAGAGAAGAAGGATATTTTGGGGTATTTTTATCTTTTAAAAAAAATACAATATTTCCTCTTTCATTTATCAAGTGATTTAGTGATACCTGAGGTGGCTGTATTGATTTTTGACTATAATTATTTATAAAATACAGATAATGGTGAAATATTTATGAACTTTTCCAAAAAAAGTTAATTTCTGAGTCTTTGTTGGGACTGGGAAATAAATCATTAACGCTGAATGCGCATGTGTCGTTGCAACGAGATATCCACTGAATTTACAAACGACGGTTTTTCAGCTTTATCAAAGCCGTCTTTATATATCTGAAAAAAAAAAGTCGAAAATGTCCCATCGATTGATATCACGGTTTAAAAATCAATGTGATGCTCAGTTGGCATAATTAACAGAGAGAGAGAGAGAGCACACAAGCATTTGACGTTTTTAACATTTCTTTTCATAAATTAAAAAAATCACCATACTTTTATATAAGTATGGGAATTTTTTATATATGAAAAAGGGCTTGAGAGAGAGAGAGCGAGAGAGAGAGAGAGAGAGAAATAATTATCGAAAGGTAAGATTACATTGCTACATTTAAATAACCTTTTTTTTTAAATCCTTAAATTCAATAGTACGCAGTAGCTTTAAAACAATTATTGTCATTTCTGAACTGACACGGTCCTACAAAGAATACCCCGCAGTCCTAGATAATAGTAAATTCCATTTCAGATTTTCGAAGCACTGGGTGTCATAAACATTACATATTCGTATGCGAATCACGCTCCAAATTAGCATGTACGTTTTTAAAAGGGAATAAAACTCGGTTCATTTTCACAAATCCTTGATGGACACCCGTATTAATCAAGCACCAAGGATCGTCACCATTTTAAACTCGAGTCTCTTAAAAGAATCTAAAAATCTCGTACATAAAATTGACGATTCGTCGAATGTGCACTACAGTGGAGCAACTTATTGGTTGTGAAAAGAGTTTAACTATGTAAAATAGTTGTCAAATTCAATAGAAGTCAAAAAAAGGCTATTTAATCCATTGATTAATTGAACCACTCTTTGAGCGTGTAATCTTTGACTCCGGAAACTCTCGCTCTTGCAATTTCCTCTCCTTTTGGAATCTACGGAAGATATTGGCGTGCGAGCGCTATAGATTCTTGAATATTCCTATGATAGGTATTGAAAAGGTAATACTTGATCTGCAAGCCTGTAATTATTCTAGAATTTGATCCATACTAAGAGGACATATCAAATATTGGGATTTAAATTATTTCTAATAAGACAACAATCATCCAAACAAAATATGTTAAGGTGGTCCATTTTATGCTTAAAAATGGTGTGAATATTATACAGTGAGAATCAACCTAAGTGTTTCCCAGAGGAAAAAGTTGGGAACACATGTAATTTCTTAACAAAATATCAGAGCCATCAAACTTACAACTGCATTTTCATTTTTTAAAAATGAAAAAAAAATTATGACGAATTTTGTGAATCTGTAAATTATTTTATCATCTTGAAACTACTCTTACCTTAAAATGGACCAGACGAACAATTATCCTGGTGAAATGTTGTAAACCAGTATAACCCCCAATTCACTCCACGGTAGTCCGAAATGCCGCGTTAAAGCCCAGAACTGGTAACCAAGGACGCCACGCAGACGAACGATCGGCTTAGTCAATAGGACTGATTAATACACTAACTGGAACAATACACCGGAGAAAAAATAGATTATACCTCTTAATGCAATCTATAATATATTCGTTAACAAGCTCCAGGTATTAGCACCTGACGGGTTTTATGCCATGTTTTTAAATTTCTCTAAGGTTTTTCTTTGAGGCCCTTGTGGCATTTATTTTCCTTAAAAAAATTACGTTGACCATTTAAAACAAAATTAAATGCGTTGACGATGCACTGAAATTCTTACAATTTAACAGTAGTAGTTATCAATACGGTTAGACGAGAACTTAAAGGGGCGTATATATCAGAAGGCTTTAACAGATAAGCCCTGTAATGGTTATACAAACTGTTTCGCTAAGACAAACACAAGATATCAGCTGTGAACAATGCATATACTGTTTCAAGATCCAAAATGTATTGTTGCCAGTTTTACTGATCTGATAACACTCCGGTAGGGGGACACAAGTGATATCCTGAAACTTAAGCCCCCGGATTTTCTTTTTCTCGCCCCAGACAACTGAGCGACTATTGCCGAAACGACATGGCTAAAGAGATTTGACTTTTTGGGTTTTGGTGACCATTTGTCTTATTTTGATTCCAATCAGTCTAATACAAGTGATACATGAAGTATGCAAGAATTTAAGCCGAGCGTTTTGGCATCTACAAAATACATTTTAATCATTGTTAACCTTTTAAAACTGTATATATATACTGCATTTGTATGTAATCCCTTCCGGAGAATTCTACCAGATCTTGCATTGAATGTAACTGCCTAGCACCAAAGTAACTCTTGGACATCAAAGACTATTTTGTACAATTAAGTGTCTGACAGATAAAGGTGAAACGTTAAATTGCAAGTTTAAAGACTAAAATGTGTATTTTACATAAGTTTGAAAATGGATTTAACATTTTAAAAATAATTCAGAGATATATTCATACTAACAAATTAAAACAACGTCATTGCAAAATTTTTCAGTCAACTTAAGTTTTTTGGTCTTATACTGACATTCTTTAGTAATTAAATCAGATTCCAATAACCTAAAGAAAAGCTCTGTTACTAGAAGTTTATGACAAAAACAAACGTATCCTTCCCAAATTATAGCCCCATTCAGTTCAGTTCTGTTTCATCTATAACATTATCTTTATTGTCCTTGAACGTGATATTAAGTCAAGACAATGGAACATTCTTACGTCATAACCAACAATATTCTCACATTCAAATGAAGGGTTTCAAAGTTGTAGCCTAGTTATCAATTTCATTCAAAGGCGTCGGAACTAGGGGGCTACCCCCCCCCCACTTTTTTTTTGCAAATTTATACAAAATATAGGCATTGAAAATCGGGGTTTTCCTTTTTTTGTTGGTTTAGCCCCCCCCCCCCCTTTTTTTAATTTGCTTCCGACGCCTATGTCATTTTTTATGACTTCAAAGTTGAATAAAAGTACATAAGTACTTTGTATCAAGATCAAGGTATACTTTGACATCATGAATATCAAAGTTTGAAACCATTTGAACCCTGTATTCACAATCGAGTTAAGATCCAAAGATTTGGTGTCCTGGCATTGAGATACGACATGAAGTCAGACTACTAGTATGCGATAATTATTATTCTGTTTAAGTCTCATTTAATTTTTCAGTGTTATAGGAGTACGTTTTTATATAACAATTATTTGTCAATTATTTACACAGAACTTTGCCGTTTGCCCCGATCAGGGATGCTTACTCCTCCATGACACCTGATCCCATCCCTGATGTTTTAGAGGTCCATTTTGCCCCATTCCCGATTTTCATGGTTTCAATGGACTTTTGTGCTTGAATACCATTTGTTATCTCCACATCTCAGTAAGATTATCGTTATACAGTGGCATTGTGCACCCCCTTATGCTTTGAGACAAAATATACGTGTATCTGTGCTTTCCAATAGTTAAGCATAGTCAGTGACATTCTTTCTATAATATTGAGGTATCCATCTCTTCTCTGTAACTCCTTCTATACCATCTTGCACCTCCTGTTTTACGTTTCGATTAGACAGATACTATATAGTCGTTTATTGAAAAACATTGGCTTCGTCATTATATTCGTATATAGGTGGGGGTGTATCATTTTGTGAGGTCAAGGTTATTAGTTCCTCTAGTTTTTGCCAGTTATTTAGTACACCTTATAATTTACATGTTGCTAACATTGCTGTAAAGAACTGAATTAATTTCAGTTCAATTAGATTTTTTTCTTAAGGATGTACAACACACCTACCCCCAAAAATTCCTGTCGTTTAATTTTCGTTATTTTTATATATTTAGTACATGACTATATCTACTGCATGTATGCATATTTTGGACAAAATCGTTCGAGTGGTTTTTGGACAGGAACTTCCGAAAGTTACCCCCCTTTAGTTGTTTACAAGGAGAGAAAATTTTTAATCAATGAACTACTTAAACCTTGATTTTCAATAAAACCAGATTAGATATAAATGTCAAATTTCATTGATTTATTCCTTTAACCATTTAACACAAAAACATAGTCATCTTTTTGATATACATATCATCAAAATAATTTTTAAAGACCTTAAACTGAAAAACTATGAATTTTCTAAGCCTTGAAAATTGCGTATTTTTCAAATAAAATTTTTTTTTGTGAAAAAACCTGTCGTTTAATTTTGGTAAAAAACTTTCTTTAGGTAGCTGGTAGTAAGAATAATCTTCATAAATTTTTGTATAATTTTTGTTCGACAAGTTTTGATTTAATAGCGGAAAATTACCCCCTCCCCCTTTCTCAATAAATCACGTTCCCGCGCGTCTTTCAGACGGGGGTCGATCACTTTGTTATATAATTCTACTAATACACATTAAAAAAAAATTAAATTGGAATATTGCTTTTGCTTCACAAATATATTAACTTACAAATTTAAAAGTTCTTATATATAAAGCGTATTTAAATGTAGATTTTTTGGCAATTTTTGAATACCCCTATCACCCCCACCCCTTCCTTTTTTGCGTCGCAGACCATTTAGCGTTTGACGAAACGTCGTTTACAGTGCAAATATACTGGTATTTCGTCATTTGAATCCCGGAGGTATGCATTAGTTTTTAAATTCATGAATGCAGAATAAATATTGACTACTCTTTTTATATGTATCAGGAAAAAATTACTGAAAGATTTTAGTGTTTAGTCCATATACGTATGCGTTATGCATTCCATATCACATGAGACCTGGATACGAATATTCAAGTTTAGTTGAACTTGAATATATTTGTTGATTTTTAATTTTATTTCTTTAATTTTATTCATTATAAAAATGGTGTATGTTCAACTCTTCTGTGATATAATTGGAATAATTGTAGTTTCTTTCATGTCATAATTTCAAAGGAGACAGTATGTGGCCGTGGGAATACATCGACATTTGCATAAGATGTACATGTACATACACCCCTCATGATATTGTACGCATTTCTTTCAATGTCGTCGCTTCTAAAGTTAAAATGAAAATTCCGTATTCGTCCACATTAACTTCAAAATATCAAACATTAAACTCTTCATCTATTTCAATTTATATCAAATCCCACATTGATATTATTTTTAAAATCTTATAGGCTACGTTTTGTTTTGATTCGAGGAAATGCGAACCGACATTGTTGACAGAAAGTCAAAGTTACGATTTCCTGCAATAGGATATTCATAAATGCAGATAATTTCAGTACAAGTGAACAATTCTTTTCAATTCTATACTTACATTGTGTATATGAGGTCTATAGTATTCAATTCTCGGACTTATCAGATCTTGCTGTAAATGTATCTGATTCTGTGGACAACAGAGAATAAAGGGAGGAAAATAAACATCTCCTACATTTTCAGAGTTGTTCCTCTTTGATCAGTAAGGGTCAGAGAAAAACATCGATTTTACATTGTAAAAAGCTTATTGTTTATTTATTATTGTTTTATTTAATTAAAGAAGAAAAACAATATTTATATCGTGTATGCACATATTTAATGAAGACCATTAATTGGAATGTTATATAGCCAATTGTACATAATGAGAATTTCGGCAATGTAAAACAAAATTTTCAGAATAAAACAAATGCTGCGCTTTGATCAAAATACAATTTATTGTACATATGAAATGAAATGAAATGAAATAAACATAAAGGGATGGTATTTTATGTCTTGCTTTTTGCGGAGTTTAATCGGGTTAATTAAAAAAATACTTATTGATTGAGTATGGTACGCACTGTCAATCACAGCCAAGCCCCATATCCCAATTTTCTTTCATGATTGATATACATCGGGATCGTTTTACTCGTCGTTTTGACGCTTTATTTTTGACGTTAAACTTGACGTCACGTCAAACGTTCAATTGAAATCGCAAGAGTTATCTCCCCCAGTGTGTTGTACGTCTTTAAAACAAAATGTAATACATAGTATGAGTTTCATTCATCATTAAAAATACTTGACGTTTATAGAGATTATGTAAGCATCTTAGGGCTGGTTTACACTGTGCATCTTGATACATGCATCGAAACTCATTCTTCTATTTTAACTCATGTGTCTTCTTATTTACACTATATGTCTCTGGACACATGCATTTTTAGAATACTTTATCAAGATGGAATTTATCTACTTAAAAATTTACAAAACCTTCAAACTCCCTTACCAGAACTATTTTAGCTGAAGAAATTATTCCTAATTTCCTTTAAATGATAATTCTTGGAAGATATAATTTATATATATTCTTAAAAAACCCTCATCTATATGATAATTATTAATTAGTTTTTTTTTTCTAATTGTAGTTTTAATCAGTATTTCCTTTGTTTTTTGTAATTTGGGAAGCAATTTTTGCAACCATATGAAGGAAAGTAAGGCTTATGATTCAATCTCAACTTTGACCTTTCTTTCATTGGTCAGTTCCATGCATCTTGACACACGGAATAGAACAAGTTCAATTTGATCTGTCAAGATGCAACACCTATTAAATCTGACACTAGGATTATTTACACTTGCAATTAGGATGCATGTGTCAAAATACAAAACGTACTTAGGTATGTGAAGGATGGTCAGAGTTCACATTCCTTGTACACGGTATTGGAAGTTTAAATGTGACGTCATTGAAATTTAACAAGCCACAAAAATTAATCAACCATACGATCATGTGTAAATAACAGCTTGATTTTATTTATTTTATCAATTATTT